AGCCAGGTATTGGGGTGAATGCTGAAAGATCAGAGAAACAGAGCCAGCCACAGCTAACCTCAACTCACCAATTTCTCAGCTGATCTCATTTCCTCAAACTGGAAGCCTCTGTGTCCTCAACTGAATGGATCGAACAGCCTAAAAGCTTAACCGGCTCTAGTTCCTGGTCCTCACACCTTATATACCTTTCTGCTTCTTGCCATCACTTCCTGGGATTAAAGGCATGTGTCACCATGCCTGGCTGTTTCCAGTGTGGCTTTGAACTCACAGAAATCCGGATCTGCCTCCAGAACACTAGGATTAAAGGTGTGTGTGCCACCATTTTCTGTTCTCTATGTCTATCTAGTGGCTGTTCTGTCTTCTGATCTCAGATAAGTTTATTAGGATGCACAATATATTGGGGGACACAATATATCACCACACCTTTTAGTTAATTTAACTAAGGATTTGTCAATCTTACTGATTTTCTCAAAGAACCAACTCTTTGTTTCATTGATGCTTTGTATTGTTCTTTCTTTCTATTTTATTGATTTCAGTCCTGAGTTTGATTATTTCATGTGATCTGTTCTTTCTGGGAGTGCTTGCTTCTTTTTGTTCTAGAGCTTTCAGGTGTGCTGTTAAGTTGCTAATATGAGATAGCTCCAGTTTTGTTATGTGGCATTTAGTGCTATGACTTGCCTCTAAGAACCACTTTCAGTATGTCCCATAGTTTTCATATGTTGTACATTCATTTTCATTCAATTCTAGAAAGTTTTAAATTTCTTAATTTCTGTCGTGACCTATTTTTTATTCAGTGTAGAGTTGTTCGGTTTCTATGAGTCTCTCTGTTGTTTCTGTTGTTACTGATACCAGCTTTAATCTGTGCTGGTCTGATAGGATACAGGGAGTTATTTCAATTTTCTTGTATCTATTGAGACTTTGTGTCTGAGTATGTGATCAGTTTTGGAGAAGTTCCATGAGGTGCAGAGAAGAGGGTATATTCTTTTGTGTTTGGGTGAATGTTCTGTAAATATTGTTATGTCTATTTGGTTTATGATGCCTGTTAGCTTCAGCATTTCTCTGTCTAGTTTTTGTCTGGACGACCTGTCTGTTGGCAAGATTGGGGTGTTGAAAACTCCTAATATCAGTGTGTGAGGGTTAATATGTTATTTAAGTTGTAGTGGTGTTTCTTTTACAAACTTGGGTGCCCTTGTGTTTATAGTATAAATGTTAAGAAATGACATATCATCTTGGTGGATTTATTTTTGAGTATGTAGTGTCCTTTCCTATCCCTTCTGATTAGTTTCGGTTTGAAGTCTAATTTGTTTAATTTATTAGACATTAATTAGACATTGCTTTGCAGGTCCATTTGATTGGAACCTTTTACTGAGAAGTAATGCCTATCATTGACATTGAGGTGTATTTATTGGATTCAGCAGAGGGATGGATCCTGTTTTCACATCCATTCCGTTAGTCTGTGTCTATTGGAGAATTGAATCCATGATTTTGAGAGGCATCAATGATCATTGAGTTTTGAATCCTGGTGTTTTGTTTTTGGTGGTGGTGGTGGTGGTGCTACTGTGTGCTTCCCTTCTTTTGATTTTCCAGGTCTGAGATTATTTATTCCCTGTGTTTTCATAGTTGTAGGTAACCTCCTTAGATTGGAGTTTTCCTTCTAGCACCTTCAGCTGGGCTGAATCTGTAGACAAATATTGCTTGAATTTTTATTTTCTCCATCTATGGTGATTGAAAGTTTTGCTGGGTATGGCATCTGTGGTCTCTTAGAGTCTACAGCACATCTACCCAGGTTTTTCTGGCTTTTTTGAGTCCACATTGAGAAATCAGATGTAATTCTAACAGATCTGCTTTTTTATGTTACTCTGTCTTTTCCATTGCAGTTTTTAATATTCTCTCTTTGTTCTTTATGTTTTGTGTTTTGATCATTATGTGCCAAGGGGACTTCCTTTTCTGGTCCAATCTGTTTGGTGTTCTATATGCTTCTTATACTTTTATTGGCATGTACTTTAGGTTAGGGAAATTTTCTTCTATGTTTTTGTTGAAAATATTTTCTGGGCCTTTGATCTGGGTTTCTTCTTCCTCTATTCCTATGATTCTTAGATTTGGTCTTTCCGTGGTGTCCCAGATTTCCTGGATATCTTATGTCAGGAGTATTTTAGATTTAACTTTTTCTTTACCAATTTATTTCTTCTATTGTATCTTCTGTGCCTAAGATTCTCTATCTAATCTCTTGCATTATGTTGGTGATGCTTTCCTATCTAGTTCCTGTTCAAATTCTTAAATTTTTTTATTTCCAGAATTCTATTTCCTTTTTCATGTCCTGAACAGTTTCATTCATTTTCTTCCCCTGTTTATCTGTGTTTTCTTGGGTTTCTTTGGGGGATTTATTCATTTCCTCTTTAAGAATATCATCTTCAGACAGGCTGTTTTAAGGTCTTTTTTCCTTGTGCTTCAGCTATGTTGGAATTTTCAGGGCCTGCTATGGTATGGTTCCTGGGCTCTAGTAGAGACTGTTGTCCTGGGTGTTATTGGTTTTAAAACCCTGGTGTCTAGGCATCTGGGATTGGAATGATTTTAAGACTAGGTGCTGACATCTGGTCTTTGTTGGGTGGGGGCTTTGTTCTTTGTTTTATGTTTCCTCTCTGGACTTCAGAAGATTGTGATAGCTGTATGCTGCCTGGTAGAAAATTTTCTGTGGATCTGATAGTTGTGGCCACTGGGGGGTTCCAGTTAAAATGTGTTTGTGGGTATTAGGAGCTGACACTTAGGAATGGGGATAGGCTAGGGATCTGAAAGTGTTCACAAGAGGGGGGAGAGCAGAGTGTCCAGCCAGGATCTGCTTATTTCGCCTCCTTGGAATTCTGTCAGAGAGTGAAGAGGGGTGACCCTAGAAGGTCTGCTACAGAGCTGGGGATGAGACTAGAGGATTGGATCTGGAGAAACAGAAAGAGGAGAAGATCTGCAGTCAGCATACCTGCTTCTCTGCCTTGCTCAGCTGGTGTGTTCCCAGGGAATGCCTACTGGGGGCTGGGATAAAGCAATGGGTGGGGGGAGGGAGATTAGAAGGGGACCTTTTGTAGGATCCACAGGAGATGTGGGCAGGGAGCAGGGAAAACTACAGCAGGTCTTGCAGAGTTCAGGATGAGACTGGGGGTTGGATTTGTAGGTGAAGAGGGATCAGTGAAGATCTTCAATAGCTTTACCTGTTTCCCTGGCCTGCTCAGCTGGTGTGTTACCAGGGGATGCCTACTGGCATTGGAGGCTGGGATAATGGGATGAGTTTTGGAAAGGAATTGGAGGAGAAGATCTCCCTGATCTGCAAAGAATGGGGTCAGAGAGGAAAGGGAGCCTGCAGTAGGTGTTCAGCTGCAGAGCTGGGGTGGGGATGAGATTGGTGGATTGGATCTGCAGGAGCAGAAGGACAGATGAGGTTCTACAGTCAGCCCACCTGCTTTCCTGGCAGGAGTGCAGATAACAATTTTCAAAATCAAAATCTCAGGCATTTTTATTTCAAATTCCCTTCTCTGTGACCTCACAGGGTGACAATAGTCACTCACCCACCTCTAACTCTGAAACTTTGCTCTTCCACACCTCTCTAATCTATGTCCGCCTCCCCCAGTGACTCAGGCTGAGTCACTGATCACAGTTCCCTCTTATAAGGCATGAGGTAGACACACAGTGACCACCTTTCCCCCTCTTCAGTAAAGGGGGCTGGAGAACCTTGTACATGTGAACTTGTAGTCACCAACAGAAGTTTATTATGAAAATTGAATCTGGGTTCCAAAATTCTTCCTGAGATATACAAGAAAACAAACATACACATGAGCTTTTGTTAAAATCACTTATTAAGGCTGGGGAAGTAGCATTGGTTTACCGAGTGCTTGCCTAGCATGCACAAGGCTCTGGGTTCAAGAATCAACACCACATACATTAGACATGGACATGGTAATACATGCTTGTAACCCTAGCACTGGAGAGGTAGAGGCAGAAGGATCAGAAATTCAAGGTCATCAAATCTTAGCTCAGCCAGTCTGGACTCCAGGAGACCATCTCAAAACAAAAACAAAACAGATATTGGTCTATCATAAATCAACAAAACCCAGGTGTTGGTTCTACTTGAACTTGGAAAGCATCTACTTTTCCCTAGGATTAGCAGCCAATAACTAACATTTCAGTTCCTCTGCTTCTGAAGAAGGTGCCAAGATGTGTCATCGTTTAATTACACCCTTTCCCCCTTGGCTTAGAGGCACTGTCCCTAAGCTTGGGAAATCAGTAAAGTATTGATCAACATACCTTTTCCTTAACATGGATCTTAAATGTGTCTTTTCTAAGTTATGCTTTAACCAAAGAATAAAATCACAGATTAGGTTGAGCATAGGAAATATCCCCCTTTAGCCTGCGTGGTGGGGTTCATTCTTACTTCAAAGCAATTAACTCAGAAAAGGGCCTAATTTTATTTTTAACTCAAATGTGCATATTAATATGTGTTCCCTTGGCAGTCCTCTCAGTTCTGAATTTATAACACTTCGGTAATTTCCTGGGTACCTTATTTCTCGTAGAAATACCATCATCCTGATCAGCACAAGGGTCTTGGATGTGTCTTGATTATAGTGTCTTGATTAAAGGTGCTTAAATGTGACAATATTTCAAATAGTCCCTTTGAATGCCCCAAATATCTGTCCTCTGGGTAGGAACCTATAGTAAATTCTTTGGAGAGAAGCCTGAGGGTGGCACCTGGTAAGGGGCTGTATAAAGAGGCTACCAGCAGTCAGAGATTCTTGAGGTAAGATTACCACTCACGAAGGTATAGACTGAGGCCCCAGAAGTCAGTTCCCTCCATATACTCCAGGGAAGCCCATCTGGGGGACAAGCTGGTAGGGCCTATCTGGAGACTTAAAGATGCCATCTTGGTGCATTGTCTTGAGTGAGTGATACTGTATTGAGACCCTGGCGTTTCTTTATTCTCTTCCATCTCAGACACATCCCCTCCTTTGTTTCCACAGAGATCACCCCAGATGGGGAGCCTCCAACACAGCCCTAGCAAGATGGCTGCTTCCTGTCTATGAAGATGGCTTCAGTCAGCCCAGAGGCTGGAACCCTGACTTCTTATACCATGGCTTCCTACTGCCCCCAGTTGGTACTCATTTAAAACCTATTTCAACAGGACAGGAACAGGTTTTCCATAATGCTAACATACTCCCTGCAGCCTTGGAGAGCAATGGACAACTACTGGAATGATTTAGTATCCATAGGGATTTAAACAACCCCTTGTGTTCCCAAACTTCCTAAGAAGTTGGAGCCCTGAGGTGTAAGACTTATCATTGAGGCTCTGAAGGTTAGCCACAGTCAGCTAGTGAGGAGAACAACTGAGATTTAAAGTTACTGCCATCTGGTTTGACAGCTTTCCTCTTGATAAACACTTTAATATTCTCAAATAAATTCTTCTGTTCATCGGTAGAAGACAAGATTCAGCCAAAGACATGCATTCATTAATGAATTCACTCGTGTACACTATATACGTGCACATGCTGGCTACAGTTTTACTATCAGAGGCACATTGATTTGGGAAATGAATTCCTTTCCTACTGGTCCTTTGGTCCAGCGTGTGCCCTTGGGTCCATTGTTCTACTTCATCAGAACATGGTCCATTTTGGCCCTTGTTTGACTCTTCATGTCAATGGAGAAGTCAACATTTGTTTTTATGCCACATTCCACAACAGAATTCTCAAAATGTATGATAGCAGATCCTCAGCTCAGTCTAGGGAAAATCAGTATCAGAAGGGAGGTGCTGACCCAGTCAGCTGTGGACTGACACCCTTACCATCACAAAGCTCTCCAACAGAGATTCAGTTTTTTTCAGGTGTCTTTTTATTGAGAGACTGAAATGTTCCTAGCAGTTAGGGGGGGCTAGCAAGTGGAGCTGGGTACCAAGGTTCACTGAGAAAGCATGATACTCATGTCTACACCTAAATAAGATATTTCTCTTGCCTATCATGTGTTTGGCAATGGACCAGTTCAAATCCTGAGGTCTTCTGAGCTCTGTACTAAGATTCTACAAACTCATGTCTGTTTATGTATCATTATAAGAATCAGCACTCAAGTATATTTACATGTAGCCTGTTCATTTCTTGATTTTATTCTAACAGAGTAATCCAAGATTACTGACTCATACAAATTTTTAACTCCAGTTCTATAGGCCAAAAGCCTAAAGTCAAGATGTCTCAAGACTGTGTCCTTTTAGAGGTCCTGGGGGGAAATTCATCTCCTTGACTCTTTCCAAATTCGTTTGTGGATGGGCTACATGCAAGGCAGGTGCTTTTACCACCAAACCATCTCTTGAGTCTTATCTTTTCTAACTAAAGTTACACTCACTCTTCCTTTATGGCTCTTCTACCACATAGTAATGTTGTATCTCTCCATGTCTTCCACCCCAAGTCAGAGCTCTTTGACAACAGTCAAGAAAGCTCTCAAAATTTGAAGACCCATGTGACCAGATTGACTATTCTTGGAAACCTGGAATAATCTCTGCATCCCAAAGTCTTTGTTCTAACCACATAGGCAGGTTATATATTATAAAGCAGACATATTTGGAGGTGTTATTCTGCCCATCATACTCTACTTTCTGATCCCCAAAGGTTCATATATATCCACCCATGTTCACTCACACCATAGGTCTAATGTCCAACCCAAATCTTACCATTGTTAGTCACCAAGTCATATAGGGAGAGGTTATGGATGTGATCCACCTGGAAACAAATTTTCTTCCATCTCAACCTGTGGCTGGCAAAATGGCTTACCTGTTAAAAGTGCTTGCCATGCAAGCCTGAGTTTAGTTCCTGGGACCCATAGTGGAAGGAGAGACTCAAACTGTGAAATAAGGAAACCTTTCTGTTGCCAAAATATGTCTTCCTAACAGTCCTGGAAACAGTCAGCACTATCCTAGGACAGGGAGGAAGAAAGGGAACAAAGAGGGAATGGCTGCTTCCAAACTATGAGATCAGACAAGTCTTTAGGTGCCAATACCTTGATCAAAACCCTGCAGTTCAGGGCTATGTCATGGGTTACATGTTCTTCACGTACTTCCCACAATGACCTGGGAACTGATAGCTTTCTATCCACTTACAGATTTTATATGATCTTCCTAAGGCTCTGAGAAGTGACCTAAAAGGCCTCAGACATCACAAATCAGGGGCAGTTTCCAAGCCCAAATGTGTCTATCTTCCATCACATCCACAGTGACAGTTCTTCCCAAGACTCTCTGGAGCTGTGAGCAAGATCCTCACTGTGAATTTAAGACCCCAAGGTCTCCATTATTGGCTACAGTGCAATCTCTCTAAATCATTGTAATCTGTTCTCTTCATCCAGGTTCGGGAGGTGACAAGGCACCTCATTCAAGTTTCAAATGAGGCTGTGACAGAAGATGACCAGTACTCTGATTTCCTGACGGTGTGGGGACAGTACATCGATCATGACATTGCTCTCACACCACAGAGCACCAGCACAACAGCCTTCTGGGGAGGTGTTGACTGCCAGCTGACCTGTGAGAACCAAAATCCCTGCTTCCCTATACAGGTATCTTCCCTAAACTCTCCATTGATTATGAAACGACATATGCCTTTTTAAAAATTAAACAGAAAAAAACCTGAAATGAAATACAAAGTCTCCTCCCCATGTCCTGTCCTCAAGAGCTTTCCACATATGCTCCTTGGATAGTCAATGCATTCCTGTGTACAACACTATTTTGTGTGTACAGATGATCCCACATTTCCCAGGCCGTGCCATATACAGGCTCTGAACCAGGGATGGTTACTCAGCAACAGTTATTACCCTTTACTCCACATCATCTAATCAACACAAATTTATTTTATGATTTAAGATTCTAAAAGGGCCCAAGAGCCTGAGGTGATACCTAGTCTCCGCTTTGCCACAGCTTCCCTCAAACTCCTCGGGGACCACTGCGTGCCTGCCTTTCTACCGCTCCTCAGCCGCCTGTGGCACTGGGGACCAGGGAGCTCTCTTTGGCAACTTGTCTGCGGCCAATCCGCGGCAGCAGATGAATGCCCTGACCTCCTTCCTTGACGCATCCACTGTGTATGGCAGCTCGCCTGCCGTTGAGAAGCAGCTGCGTAACTGGAGCAGCTCCGCAGGGCTGCTGCGGGTCAACACACGCCACCAAGACACAGGCCGCAGCTATCTGCCCTTCGCCTCTGCTGCCTGCGCTCCGGAGCCTGGTGCCCCACGTGCCACCCGCAGGCCCTGCTTCCTGGCTGGCGATGGCCGTGCAAGCGAGGTCCCCGCCCTAGCAGCAGTACACACCCTGTGGCTGCGTGAGCACAACCGCCTAGCTGCTTCATTCAAGGCCATCAACACACACTGGAGTGCTGAAACTGCTTACCAGGAGGCTCGCAAGGTGGTGGGCGCAATGCACCAGGTATGTGCCTCGGCATGGGGGGAGGGGGATACAGACAGTGAATAGTGGGTGCCCCTAAGGTGTGTCTGCGAGGCCACTGTGGGCACTCTAGGGGTGTTGGACAGGGTCACTGCGGGCTTACCAGTGGCTTCCAGCAGGACCAGCATGGTCTCTCTGAGTTTCTGGTAGGATCACCTTGGGATACTCAAGTGGGGACTTCCAAGGCACAAGTGTGTGTGAGCAAAACACTCCTGGTACTAGGGGGCTCCTCTTGGCTCTGTAGTCCCAGCACTGCATCATCCAGAGTAACCATAGGGCCACAGACCTCCTGAGCCACAACTGTGCCCAGCAACAACAGGTCCCTTCATTGGCTGCTGCCTGGTAACTGTAATGAGGGAAGGAAGGAAGGGAAGGGAAGGAAAAGAAAAGGGAAAGAAAAAAATTGCAGTACTGACTTCACAGTGTCCGTGGGTTGTTATGGAGGAATGAGTTATTTTACTCTATACCAGTGATTCTCAACCTGTGGGTCTCGACCCCTCGAGGGGCTGCATATCAGCTATTTACATTATAATTCACAACAGTAGCAAAATTACAGTCCTGAAGTAGCAATGAAATAATTTCATGGCTGGGGTCAACACAACACGAGGAGCTGTATTAAAGTGTCACAGCATTAGGAAGGTTGAGAACCACCGCTCTGTGCTAACCTTCTTCCAGTGTCAGGTTAGAACAGGCTGTGTGCTAGGCACTTGACATCACCTGTGTCCTCACAGAAACCCTGTGGGGAAGTGTACTGGGTGGTTTTGTGTGTCAACTTGACACAAGGAATAAAGTCATCAGAGGAAGGAGCCTCTGCTGAGGAAATGCCTAATTGAGATCCAGCTGTAGGGCATTTTCTCATTTAGTGGTCAATGGAGGAGAGTCCAGCCCATGGCACCAGGGTGGTGCCATCCCTGGGCTGCTGGCCCTGGGTTCTATAAGAAGGTGTGCTGAACAAGCCATGGGAAGCAAGTCAGTAAGCAGCATCCTTTCAATGGCTTCTGTATCAGCTTCTGCTCTGGGATCCTGCCCTGTTTGAATTCCTGTCCTGACTTCCTTCAGTGATGAACAGCAATGCTGAAGTATAAGCCAAATAAACCCTTTCCTCCCCAACTTGCTTCTCAGTCATGGTGTTTCATCACAGAAATAGAAACCCTAACTAAGACAGGAAGATAACTTCAATCTCACTTAACAAATAAGGAAGGGATTGTTGTCCTCCTGTGTGTAGTTGCAAGGGGCAGCCCAGGAGCACCTGCCCTACCATGGCCTCAGGTGCCTGAGGACCTGGCATAGCCCATGAGTTGCTGGGAGTAAGGAGGACATGAAGACAGGGGGCATCAGGGAATGAAACATCTTTACCAACCCCACAGAAATGTTCAAATACCTCAGGATGTGTGTGTACACAGAGGTGCACATTGGGTGTCTGTCAGCTCTGGTTAAGGAGTCCTGTGCACTGTGTTACTGAATCTGTGCTCAGTATTTGTGTGTGTTGTGTGTTTGAGTGTTTGTCTCTGATTTTAAATTGTGCTCTGCATCTGTTCTACGTGTATGTTTCTGTAGTGGATTGTATTTGTATTCATTAGTCTGTGTGTGCCTATGCTGTGCTGTGTTAGATAAGAAAGTAGAAATGAGATATACAAAACTTTGAAACTGAGGCTTATTTGAAACTGAGGCTTATAATAAACTGAGTGCAAAGTGCTTCACTGAGTAGCTGTAACCTTGCTTGATAGGCATATGTAAACGGACACTTTTTTATTAATCACTGCAGGTATCCCTAGCAGAACCTCACATCAGTATCTGAGGGCAGAAGCAAAACAATTTTGTATAGTAGCTTTAGGACAAAACCAGGAACCCCAAAGCCTTGACGTTTTCAAGGAGCTGGCCAGACATGTGACCTCTTTGTGCAGAGTGGGGTGTCATCCCATGGCAACAGGAGACACACACACACACACACACACAGCTGACTGCCTTCTCTCTGCCCTGGGAGATGAATCTATGATGATTCTCTCCCTGATTATGACTTCCAGACCCAGCTAATGGTGGATACAAGTTTGTTCTCTTAACATAAGCTTCACAGGGACAGGGATTTAGGCCTGGTTATTTTCATTCTTCTTTCCAAGCAGCTAGAATGTACTGGCAAGTGTAGGTGACTCGTGAATATGTATTGAGTTTCTACAGAGGTGAAAGTCCCAGGAATAATCCCAGGAGGAGTCTCCTTCCCTTCTGCCTCTTCCAGAGTTTATACTGTCTAAGGGAGGGTTGGCTAGTCATCCAAGGAAGGCCCAAGGGGTCACTGCACATAGGTCCACAACTGATCATTCACGTGTACAAAAATGCTGTGATGAGTGAGGGCCCTGGTTCCATGTTTCTTCTTAGTAAAGTTCTGCAGTATTGGTGGTGTGAGTCCCTTGGTATGCCCTTACATGAGCCCAGTAGTTGTAAAATAGAGGGTTTAGTTCTGCATATCTGAGGATCTCAGCTGCCTTGAACATTCTCAGTAAAAAAAAAAAAAAAAAAAAAAGTAATCATTTTAAATGAACAGTAAAGATGCTCTCAGATTTCTGTATTACCCTCATCAATCTAGTGTCTCTTCTCTACTTGGTTTTTGTTGTTGTTTGTTTGTTTGTTTGTTTGAACATTCCTATGGGTTGTGCCTTTACCTGATGGGCATGTCCCCTCCCACACCTCTGACTGCATCTGTGGATTGTGTCCTCCTTTTGGAAGCTCACCAATCCTATGGTGTTCTATCACAAGGATGCCCAGGCAGATTTCCTCCCTATTGCTTTATTTTTAATCTCCTGTTGGCCTGCAGGCACCCTTAGGCTTTGCTGAAAACTTTCCCTGCTCAGAGAACACCTGTCTCCCTCTCTATAGATCATCACCATGAGGGATTATATCCCCAAGATCCTTGGTCCTGATGCCTTCAGGGAGTATGTGGGCCCCTATGAAGGCTATGACCCTACTGTGAACCCTACTGTTTCCAACATCTTCTCTACTGCTGCCTTCCGCTTTGGCCACGCCACAGTCCATCCACTGGTGAGACGGCTGGATGCTGACTTCCAGGACCACGTAGACCTCCCCGGGCTGCAACTCCATGATGTCTTCTTCAGGCCCTGGAGGCTTATCCAGGAAGGTATGCCCATCCTCCTGACTTGATCCTACAGCTAAGCACAGCCACAGTAGCCTAGCATGAGGCTTTACCTTCCATGCTGGTTGGTTAAGCTAATGCTATCTAATTTATCAGTATTTAGAGGGAATAAATATATTTAGGTGGCATGTCTCTGTCTGTTCAGGTGCATGTGTGTGCAAATATAGGCTGGAGGACAACCTCTGCTGTTATTCCTGGAAAAGCAATCCACTTCCTTTGAGAAAGGGTCTCTCACTGACCTGAAGTTTACCAATGAAGCTAGACTGGCTGAACAGCAAGCCACGGGATCACCCTGTCTCTGCCTCCACAATACCAGAATTACAAGCACACACCATCGCACCCTACAATTATTCCCCTGGGTTCTGAGGGCAAATTCAGGTTCTTGTGCTTGCCTTGCATCACACTTTGCCGGCTGAGCCACTCCCCCAGTGCAGTGTTCAAGGTTTTTTGAAAGGTGAAATTTCCTGAGAAATGCCTTGACTCACATCTGGAGCTATCCAGTACTCAGGATAAATTATCCAGGTATAGGGCGTTCTCTCTCTCTCTCTCTCTCTCTCTCTCTCTCTCTCTCTCTCTCTCTCTCTCTCTGCAGACAGATGAGTAGAAGTGTCCTGGTGGTTATGCCTTACAGATGCTACTGCCAATCCTTCATCAACAAGCGCTATACTGTTCTCTGACGGGACCAGCACTGTGAGCTGCAGGATGCTGGCATTTTCAAAAACAAACAACAACAACAAAACTCTGATTCTCTGATTCTACTCTGGAGAATTGCTTTCATGCTTCCCTACATTTATTTCTTTCTACTCTTCTCCCCATGGTCTTTCTCTCCCTCTGATCATTTCTAAGCTGTCTCAAAAGTAGGTACAGGAACAGGTTGGAGGGTAGAGATGATGGTAGCTGACAGTGTGTTCCCTCACCACTGATAATCAAGTTGCTATCATTCAGAACATGAGGAGAGAGGTTTGGGGTCTTCCTGAGTCATTCTACCCAGTTCAAACTATATTATAAATTTGCCTTTGGTGGGCACCAATGGTAACTGGCCCCTTAGTTGATGCTATTGCATGTAATTCTGGATTCATACAGCTAAGGGTAGGCAAGACATAGGAACTGGCTGGTTTACTTCCTTTGAGATCTTCTATGAGGATGACTCAGGCTTTAGTGGGTAGCAGAGCAACGTCCTTGAGAAACTAAGAGTTTGCCAGTCCAGGCAACATCTTACTGTTCCAGATGATGGAGTCCAGAGAATATTTCCTTGGACTCTAAACCAGTGGTTTTCAACCTGTATGTTGTGACCCCTTTGGGGGTCAAAAGACCATTTCAACAGGAGTCTCACCTAAGATCATTGAAAAACACAGATGTTTCTATTCATAGATGTGACAATTCATAATAGTAGCAAAATTACAGTTATGAAGTAACGATGGAAATAAATGTATGGTTGGGGGTCACCACAACATGAGTAACTGTATGATTAAAGGATTGCAGCATTAGGGGTGTTGAGAACCACCTCTCTAAACATTCTGCTGCTGAAAAATAAATAATGATGAATCTCAGTAATGTGATCCTGCCTGTGTCTAGTCCCTGAGGTGCTGAAGGTATATCCTCAGCACACAATTGTCAATAACTGCCATGTTCTAAGGAACCTGGAAAGCTTTTGGACTTGCAAAAGGTATTTTGGGGAACCTGCACAGATGTTTGTTAAGAGTAAACATGCTTTATAACTGAGCATCTATCCTTTGTCCTCAGAACTCAGCAGGGACCCAGAGACCTCTCTGATTTGTGTATGATGTTTTTCAGGTGGTTTGGATCCAATAGTGAGAGGCCTCCTAGCAAGATCAGCCAAGCTGCAGGTACAGGAGCAGCTGATGAATGAGGAGCTGACTGAGAGGCTCTTTGTGTTGCCTAATGTTGGTACCTTGGATCTGGCATCGATGGACTTGCAGAGGGGCCGTGACCATGGCTTACCAGGTTTGTCAGGTCTCTAGATAGTCCTTCCCTCAGCACATACTGAGGTGTACCATCTGGTTCAGTGTCTGGTGTAAAGTGAAATATACCCACAAATCTATTGCACTACCAGCTTCAAGAGAATAGATTTGTGTTTTGGTTTTTTTGTTTGTTTGTTTGGCTTGTGTGTGTGTGTGTTTTTAGATGAGGTTTTGCTATGTAGCTTAGGCTAGCTTCAAATTCATGATCCTTCTGTTTCAGCCTCCCAAGTAACTGGGATTATAGGTATGTACCAGGCCTGTAACTAACTACATATCTGTGTGTAAATTGGCTCCTCTGCACCCTGTGAGCTCTATGGAAGAGTCTGTGTCCCTTTATGTGATTTGCACTTGAGATGTCTTTTCTTGTATGCCCTTGGGACAATTCCCAGTCTTCGAAGGGCATCCAACTACAGAACAGCAGTCTCTCCCAGGATCCTAATGGAGTCCCCACCACAGAAGCCTGTGGAGCACCAGGGTTCCCCAGGAACTACTACACTGATGCTTTGCCTAACCCAGAGGCCCACTCACAGGGCCAGTGGCCAGTGCCCTTGCTCTGTGTATATGCAGCAGAAAAAGTCCTAGATGCAGGTGCTGTTACTGTGGCTGCTATTCTGAAACTCTGGTTGCAGAGTGCAGTCGGTGTGTCCTTCTGTATCATTCTTCCTTCACCACAGCCTTCAACTTGTAGCAACTTGGATTTGATGAGCAAGTATATACTGGGAAGACATAGAAAAGGGTCCCTTCTGCTTGTGTTGAAAGACCACACACCTTCTGTGTGTCACTCTGAACTCCAGGTGCACTTATTTCTCTGACCTGTGGAGGAATATATCTGCTGCTTATGGCCCCTGAAATATCTCTTTCCCAATTTTTGAGTGCAATTCACTCACTCTTTGAGCTTCAAATGTTCTGAAAATAAATGATCCTTCAAGTAGATATTTAATGAAGTAACTGCTATATTCCCTAACATCTGTGGCAATCAGGGGATATATATATATATATATTCACTGATTTTATTTTGTTTGTCATGAGATTACGGGATCTGGGAGGTCTGTCCTAAAGCAGAAAGTGATGAATTGGAAATGTTATGGGATTCCTCACAACTGGGGAGACAGGAGAGGAGGAGGCTGTCATCTTGCAAGATGGCTCCTGAGAAAGATAACAGGAGGTGACCCACCTGGAATTAAGGAACTAAGAGGGGACTTGCCAATGAGTTACCACTCACCAGGCCCAGCTGTGGACAGCAGACCTTGAATTAAGGTAGAACAATCTTGTTGGCCAGGAAGCTCAGGAGCCATGGCTCTGAAAAAGGTGGTATGATGCTTACCTGCATCATATGTAGATATACACATAAACAAACAAAATAACAACAAAAAAACAGCTACATTAAACAGATACCAGTTTCTTCTGAATTAGAGTGGAGGGAGCTGCCATTATTGAGAATTGACTTTTTTATTTTTTTATTTTATAATTTAATTTTACATATCAGCCATGGATTCCCTTGTTCTCCCCCCTCCCGCCCCCCCCCCCCCCCCGCCTTCCCCCCAGCCCACCCCCCATTCCCATCTCCTCCAGGGCAAAGACTCCCCTAAGTATTGAGTTCAACCTGGTAGATTTAGTCCAGTCCCCTCCTCCCAGGCTAAGCCAAGTGTCCCTGTATAAGCCCCAGGTTCCAAACAGCCAGCTCATGCACTGAGTACAGGACCTGGTCCCACTGCCTGGATGCCTCCCAAACAGATCAAGTTAATCAACTGTCTCACTTATCCAGAGGGCCTGATCCAGTTGGTGACCCCTCAGCCATTGGTTCATAGTTCATGTGTTTCCATTCATTTGGCTATTTGTCTCTGTGCTTTATCCAACCTTGGTCTCAACAATTCTCAGTACCATTGGATGGCAACATTCATGAACCAGCTTTTAAATTCTCATTGATGTTTTTCTTGACTTTGGCTTTTATTTACTGTAACCTACTGCCTCTGTTCCCTGTAGCTAGAAGCTCCCAACACCCCATTCCATGCCTCAGCAAGGCTCTTCTAGCATCCCTTCTTAGACTCCCCAGAAGGTACATGATCATTTCTTCAGAGTCTACTTTATCCATAGGGTTCACTCTGAGTCCCCAAAGTTTTTATCCCATTAATGCCTTGTCACCCCTGTGGAGATGTGGCCTGGGCCTCAGGGCATTTCTCTCTGTGTGTTTATGCAATACTTGTTGAGGGTCTAGGTGTGGAAGGGAGTGGAAATAACACAAGGCAGACTCCACTGGAATACAGATGGCAGAATGAACAAAGGGAATGGAATGGAACTGCACTGCCTGCTAAGTCTCACAGCAGACTGTGACTGGCACTGATGGAGAAAGTCCAGATGAGGATGAGGCCAGTGGGAGCCCGCAAGGAGGATACTGCAAAATCAGATCATGTGTCCAGTGGAGAATGCAGCACAACACAGTCAGAATGCAGCATGTAGAGACAATGAGAGGGTGAGAGATACTGGGGCCATGACGCCAGGGCAGGGCTTTGCCAGCAATGCTGAGCTCACCCTCAAGCACGGGGATAATCTATAATATTAGAGACAGTCAGACAAGTAAAGATAGGCATGTACATATGTGTATTCTGTGTGTGGTATGTGTGTTTGTGTAAGAGAATGTCTATGGGTGTGTATAATAGAGTGTATGTGTCTGTGTGTCTGTGTAAAGAGACTGTGTGTTTGTGAGTGTATAAGAGTTTGTGTATATATAAGAGTATGTGTGTATTGGAGAGTGTGTGTGTGTATATGTGTGTAAGAGAGTATGTTCATGAGTATATGTATGTAAGTGAAAGTGTTAATCTGTGAGTGTATCTGTGTAAGAGAGTATGTGGTTTTTTTGTGCGTGTAGAAGAGAGTATGTGTGCATGTGTATATGTATAAGAGAGTATGTGTCTATGAGTGAGTATGTGTGTGTGTGTTTGTGTGTGTATAAGAGAGTGTGTATCTGAGTGTGAATATAAGAAAGCATCTATGTTTGTGACTGTGTATGTGTGTAAGTATATATTTGTGTGTGTGCTGGTATGCTCTTGTTCTCCATGAGCTCCCAGTATCCTTCTGGAGCATCAACAGCTCTGAAGAGGGTGTGGCCTGTTGCCACAGTTCAGTAGGAGAAGACTGAGCCAATAATACTACGAATCCACTAAAATATCTTGACTTGGCACCCTTTCAATCCTAATTCACCCCAAAATACACTCTTTATAAGAACCCCAGGTCTGTGCTGCATCGCCTGTCCTGTTGAACTCCATAGGACTGAATGTCATGCCACAATGATGTAATGGTCTCTCAGCAACAGGGAATGGCAGACAGGGCTGTGTCTCTGCAACAGGGGTTGTCTGTCTCTTCCAGGGGTCAGCAGAACCCATGTGTAGACTGGTGAAACTTAAGTCCCTATAAAAACAGACCTATCCTCTCTTTCTTGTGCAGGCTACAATGAATGGAGAGAGTTCTGTGGCTTGTCACGCCTGGAAACACCAGCCGAACTGAGCAGGGCCATTACTAATAGAAGCATGGTCAACAAGATAATGGACTTGTACAAGCACGCAGACAACATCGACGTCTGGGTGGGAGGCCTGGCTGAAAACTTCCTGCTGGGGGCCCGCACTGGCCCTCTGTTCGCATGCATCATTGGGAAGCAGATGAAAGCCCTGAGGGATGGAGACAGGTAAGTACCTGTGGAAAGTCTCTCCACGTTCTGAGCAAAGCACTCTGGGCATAATACAGTGTTCTACATAAGGCTTGTATGAAGCAGCTAGATCTGTGCTCAAGTGCCTATGTGACCTGGGGCAGGTTTTTTTTCTCAAACATAACATCCCTGACTCTAAAACAATGTTGACACCAAACAAAAGGACCACAAGACATATAGAATATCCTGTTCACTTAGAAATATTACTATTATTTTCCTATGTTTCTAGTCATGTGGATGAGGAAGCACATAACACAATTCAAACTGTGACAATCTATGGCTTCCATCGTTGGCCATTCACTGATACTGTTGACACTGGACAGGTAGACCTGCCTTGATGCAGATGTGGACCCCAGATAGTACCCAGGAGCAGTCTGTGCTAAACAGACTCACTCCCACTCCCCACCAAGCCTCCACCTCCAGCCCGACACAGCTGGCTGAGGCTCCTGCCTGCCCTTGCACTTGCTCCTTCCTCATTTCAGCCTAGAATTGTGAGCTCCCCAGAGTGGGGTACAGAAGCAAGTGCATTATCTGTGGACCCCATGAGCTTACACCAGATGGTGATCAGGGCAATGTAAAGTGAAATGTTAGAATTATGGAACCATGAAGAATAAAACAAGCATTTCTTTCTTTCTTTTAATAGTCCCCACCTACCCTGATACTAAAAGATTCTCTCTTTCTGCCTGCCTCCCTCCCTCCCTCTCTCCCTATAAGATTGCTTTCAAAGAGTGCCTCAGCTTTTAGACACAGCCTTAGGATTCTTTCCTTGCCTTTGCTAGAAATGTTGCCATTAATTTCTGGGATACAGCATTTCACAGAGATGAGACAACTGGAAGAAATCCTGGTGGGGAGGGTATCTCCCTAGAAACTATATCTTTAGACAAATCATGTGGCTTGACATAATTAGGGAATGAGAAGACACAAACTTTGGAAGCAGGTCATTTCCTGGACTTCCTTGAGTATGACATGGCCACTGGGTCAGGTTCAATGGCAAAGTCCAAGAGCCTCTGGCAGATGCTGGGGTGATGCAGTGATTCTTCACCCTAGTGTTTATGACCGAATGTCTCCAAAAAGCAAAACTTCAATCAGCCAACTGATATAGGGGAGACTCCTTCTCATCCTGTCCAAGTCCTTTTGCAGATTTCAGTTCCTTCTCACAATCTAAGGGAATGTGTTCCCAAGTAGAAACAGAGGCAGTCTTTATATGGTAAAGGGTTGTGGGAAATTGGAGCTTTGTCCATAATGTTCATATTCTGGGAAGAACTAACATTATTTTCTCTCTTTGCTGACCCTGGCCTGGAGGTAAGGACAAGAACAACATTTGGACCTTGGACTGAATGGCACCTCTTCCTGTGGCTGACTTTGCTGTTGCCCCATTTGTTTCTGAGACAGGGGTGCACCCATACAGGCACAGTGCAGTCAATCCTCTACAAGCTGGGCAGTTCACACTGCCCTGAAGATGGCGCTTTCCAGACAGGCTTGTAGCTGAAGTTTTTTCCAGTCCTGCCTGGCCCATGGTCAGGACAAATCTCTCTCACCCACCAGTCCTACAGCCACTCAGACCCAACCAAGTAAACACACAGACGCTTATATTATTTAAACTATTTGGCCTAATGGCTCAGGCTTCTAGCTATCTAGTTCTAACATCTTAAATTAACCCATTTCTATAAATCTATACCTTGCTACATGGCTCGTGGCTTACCAATATCTTACATGTTGGTACTCATGGAGGCAGCTGGCAGCGTCTTCTGACTCAGCCTTCCACTTCCCATAATTCTCCTCTCTCCTTGTCCTGCCTATACTTCCTCCCTGGCTACTGACCAATCAGTGTTTTATTTATTAACCAATCAGAGCAACACATTTAACATATAGAACATCCCATAGCACAGGCTTCTACCCTTCTTTTCTCCTCTGTATCTACAGTGCCTGGTTCTCACAGGCCCTGGATGCTGTGGTCACCCTCTGATATTGAGTGCATGAGGAAAGGGAAGTAGCATTGTATGCTACTCCCACTCACGTGCCCTCTCCCGTGCAGGTTTTGGTGGGAGAACAGCCATGTCTTCACAGACGCTCAGAGGCAGGAACTGGAAAAGCATTCACTACCTCGGGTCATCTGTGACAACACTGGCCTCACCAGGGTACCTGTGGATGCCTTCCGTACTGGAAAATTCCCCCAGGACTTTGAGTCCTGTGAAGACATCCCTAGCATGGACCTTGAAGTGTGGAGGGAGACCTTTCCACAAGGTGACTCTGAGCCTCTTGTTACATTATTATATAATGTCAGTGTAACCTCTCAACATGGCTGATTTTAACCCTGTGCTGCTGAGAAAGTACTGGTGAGACTGAGTCTTGCCTTCCCCTGTGGTGTGGTAGCACCCCAGTGAGAACTAAGAATCAGACCAGAAGTCTGCAACAGTTGACAGACCTGTACCCCATCCAGGTTCACACACTACTTGGTAGCTGCTGAGCCTTCGCACTGGCAATCCCCAGAATCTCCTTCTGTTATGAGCTCTGTACCCATGAGATTCCAACAGCACTACGGAGCTCTGCCCACCATAGATGAGTACAAAGTCTCCTGGGATCCTGCTGGCTCAGTCCTCCTGGATGAGCAGCAGCAGATGAGCTCTTATTTAAGAGCAAGTAGTGACTGACATTTGGCTATGGAGAAAAGATGTAAGATTGAGCAGGGACCTACAGATTCCTGAGATTTAATTAGCAAGGTAAATGTTCTCACCTTGGTTTTAGTTCTATACTTCAGACAGACCAAATTATATCTCGTGAAATACCACTGACACAAAACATTTATTCTTTTTGCATGTATGTGTGTGCATATGTGTGGCATATGTAGGCTGTGTATATTCATATTGGCATGTATTTGGGCACACATTTGTGCACACATGCATCTGGAGGCCTGAAATTGGCATTGAGTGTCCTTGATCTCTTCATCTTACATTATTGAGGGAAGGTCTCCCACTGATTCTAGAACTGGCTGGTCTGGGCAGTCAGATTGCTCTAGGAATTCCTTGTCTTTGCCTCCTGCGTGCTGGGATTATGGTCAGACTGCCATGCCCATCTAGCTTTTACGTGGGTTCTGGGCATCTCAATTCTGGTCCTCACAGTTACTCAGAAAGCACCTTACTGACCAAGGAATTTTCTCAGCCGCACCAAGTGTTTACTCTTTCATTAACTATATGACATCAGCTTTGAGCCATGTGAGTCTTGACTTTAAACAGGAGATAAAAGCATTGGCTACATGGCAGGCACTTATCCAGGGCCTAGCACCCATTCTCCAGAAGAAACAGAGAGATGCATGCCATACATGCCCATAGAGAGACACACATACAAACCTATTAACCACTTCCATCCCAGACTAAGAAAGGGCCAAGGAACCCCCTTTCTGCAGCCTCCATCTCCAAATGTAATGCTATGCAGATACAAGGTGTTGGGAAATGAAGTTTTAATTGAGGGGTACAGCTCAACCCACAGCAGGGCTGATGGTCTAGAGTCTTTCTTTCTTGTGGATTTACTGAATTTTGACCTTCAACATTTCACAGATGACAAGTGTGTCTTCCCAGACAAGGTGGACAATGGGAACTTTGTGCACTGTGAAGAGTCTGGGAAGCTGGTACTGGTATATTCCTGTCTCCATGGATACAAGCTGCAAGGCCAGGAGCAGGTCACATGCACCCAGAATGGATGGGACTCTGAGCCTCCTGTCTGTAAAGGTCAGTGGTGCCACATGGTGTGAAGGTTAACAGCAATTACAAAACAATCTGTGTTTCCCCAAAGGAGATCATCAGATCCCTCACCAAAACATTTTTCTGAGCACAGGTGTATACCTAGAGCTGTCCCGGCACAGAAGGAGAAGTGTTGGCCATACTCTATTGCTTTCTTCAGATGGCAAAACATGGATACAGTCACTTCAAATCTGGACTCATGGTGATTTAGACAAGGAGAGAAGAAAAGGAGCCAGTTAGTTCTCAACAAGGTTGTAGAAAGAATTGAGAAAGCCCATTCTGCAGATGAAATAGCAGAGAAGGTTCTCACTCCAGGCACCCAGAGAGAGACCCAGAACTATCACCCCCTTTTGAGCATCACCTTCCCAGCTGTGTTCTTGGCCTCCTCATGCTGAGAGAATCACTTCCCAATCCTTCTCACATCCAGTAATAGGAGAGCAGAAGGAAACAGGCACTTTCAGGTGCTGCTGTAAGGACTCCCCTGGCTTCCACCAGCCTCTTCTCTCTTGTGACTGTGCAAAGTAGGGATTGCCCCCAAGATGCTTAGGAAGTTGGCAAGAGTGTCAGCTTGTGGTGGAAGAGCCTGAGTCCTGGTTATTTTCTGCAAAGAGACAAATCTGTAAGAAAGAATAAGCCTGGGCCCTAGTCCCCTGGCAATGAGACTTATTGGTACAGTAGCTGGTATCTTCTGTTCTATTTAAAAATCTTCCTCCTGTAAGTAGTTCTTCTGCAAGGGGCAGGGAGCAGTGAGAGAAGGGACAGGAGGCCTGCTTTTAGAGAAGATATGCTGCTCAACTCAATGTCCAGCAGTCACATGAATGATAGACTCCTGAATGGAAGACAGACCCTGTATGCCAAGTGATCCCATAGGAATGGATGCCAGAGCCACCCTTCCACGGCCTGCTTGCTGTGGCATACATTCAGCAAAGTCTCTGAAAGCAGAAGTGGTGTCATGAAAGAACTTGGATGGTTTGCAAGCAGAGATAAAGTCCGAAGTTTTTTTGTTCATTTGTTTGTTTTGTTTTGTTTTTGTTTTCAAGAGCAGTGAAAAGGTGGTATGACTCTGCATATCATTGTGAACATGCCAGACACCTCTGAGCTTTCTATGTCTAGTGTCTGAAGGTGAGCTTTAGTTTATATCTCCTTTCCCACAAGGATGAACATTTCCTTGAAGTCCAAAATGCTTTGTCCTTGAACGATTGCAATGATCTTCACTTCTAAACCCTGAGTAGTAAAGAGGCAGACGAGCAAGTCTCAGCCCTAGTCATGGCTGACTCCTGTGTTCTGCACACCATGGCAGATAGTCACATCGGGTTCCCCCAGTGCACAACTGTAGCCTGACAGAGCAGGACAAGGAAGAGAGGAAGCAGAGCTAGGAAAATAGCTGGCAGCAAGATGAACTGCCCAGGAATCAGTGGATCCGAAGGCCACCAGGTAAGAGATGGAAGCTATTGCCAGAAAACACCCACCTGGGCTGGAAACCTGGACGTAAACCCACAGTCCTGCTCTCCCAGACTTGTACCAGTAGAAAGTGGGCTGTGAAGGCCCAGTGCTGACAGACTCCCCAGTACTCTTTTGGCTCTAATCATGAGCAACAGTGGGCCAGGGAACAAGGCGAAGGACCTTATCACTGAGAACATCATCCAAGATTCTCTGCCAGAAGACAGAATCCCCACAGAATGAGTGACAGAGGTCCAGCTGTTCTACACAGCAGCAACATCTGTGTGCATCTGCTGTTTCTGACAACTGCTACTTAGATCACTCTGAATTATCACATTCTGTAGTTAATCTCCGTTAACGTTATGACAGACCTGGAAGCCTCCACGCTCTTTTGGCTTAGCAACTAAGCAGACAAGAAATGCTCACTTGACCGGGATTACTAGCTCTTCCCACTGGCAGTGTCTCCTCAGGGTGTGACTCTTAGGGTTTGGTACAGTGATGTTCTACGGCTGATCAGCCCTGGTACGATGCACCTTTAGCTTGTCCACCTTCCTTCCTTTAGTCTAAAAACCTGAACTGTTACATACTCATCCGGGCTATTTGTTTTAGGTTTTAAAGCTGCAAAGGAAAGCTTAGCTGAGGGAAATTCTACATGTCTCTCAGTCTGCTTGTGCTGACCACTAATTGTACTGAATATGAGCTGACATAACAGTTTACAAGGCTGCTCTCCACTGAACGTGTAAGAGCAGCATACCCCTTCTGCCTCCACTAGGCAGTTTTATGTCATAGAAACCACTTTTTTGTCCCCAGCCTACACCCTTCAGCTGTTTTTATCCTGACTTTTCATTTTAGCAGTCCCTGGCTCCCTAAAGTTAAGGAAGTTGTGGTCAGCAGGTACCAAGGACTTAGTGGCCATCAGCTTAGTTTCTGAGCTTCCCAGGTGCTCCTTGTTGGTAGGAACATCAGGTGGCATGGCCTCTGCCTGCAACAAATGAGCTTATAATGTGGATTCTGTGACCAGAAGAAATGACATTCTCTTTTGAGACCAGCATCCTTTCAGGGCCAACAGCTCTGAGATCAAATTGGCATTGTCCATAAAATACTGCAAAGCCAAGTGTGTTAAGGGTGAGGTACCCATTGGGCAGCACTGACCATGTCCTTTTTCCTCAGTACAGTAACTCAGCAGCTTCACATCAGAATATCTCTTTCAGCAGCTAATTGCTCTGCCCCTTGAGGTCACTCAGCTTACTCCTGCCTCCAACCCTTCCAATGTTCAATGAGAATGGTCATGCGATCCAGCTCACTGGTTGCCTATTTAAATTAATGAATGCACAACATTAAGAACAAGACCTAGTGCCCTTACAACAGTGAATGTGTGCACACCATGAAATACCATGCTGAATATATTAAGGAGGGTGTAAGATGAATTACTAAACAGTCTTATTAATAAAAAACCCAGAGCCAGATATTGTGGTGAAAACTGAAAGATCAGAGAAATAGAACAAGCCACAGCCACCAGCTATTACCTCACCAACTCCATGAATCCTCTGACTGAAATCCTTAGCCTCAAGAGCATGAGTTCCTGTTTTCTCATGCCTTATATACCTTTAATAGAACAAGCCACAGCCAACCTCACCTCGCCAACTCCTCAGCCGATCTTATTTCTGAGAATCCTCAGACTGAAAGCCTCTGAGTCCTCACCCATGAGGGTCTCAGGCTTGAACTGCTGCTAAAAGCCTCTGGTTCCTGGTCCTCATGCCTTATATACCTTTCTACTTCCTGACATCACTTCTTGGGATTAAAGGCGTGTGTCACCACTCCTGGCTCTGTTCCCAGTGTGGCCTTGAACTCACAGAGATCCAGAAGGATCTCTGCCTCCCGAGTGATAGGACTAAAGGTGTGTGCCACCATGCCTGACCTCTATGTCTAATTTGGTGGTTGGCTCTGTTCTCTGACCCCCAGATAAGTTTTATTGGGGTGCACAAATAAAATATCACCACAGGAGGGTCTGCTAGTACTATAGAACCAAGTTCACCTAAGATACACCATTGAACAAAAACACAACTGATAGAGGGGCATGTCTGATGAGAATCCATTCTGCTTTTTTTGGAAGAAGTGGCACCTATTTGCATGTGTTGCACAGATAAGGTCTTCGTGAGCTTGCAAAGAGTATGCCAGGACCAAGACCTTATAACTGCAGAGGTCTCTGCAGAGCAAGATGGGAAGAGAGACTACTCATTTCATGATGACAAATCCATGTTTCCTGCCTTATTGTTTTTATAATATTCTTATATGCAAACCATGAGGGTGCATTGAGGGAACACTCTAGGTGCAGATGTGTTTACACATACAGGTATCTTCACTAAATCTTACCTCTAACTACATATATCCAAGGAAGGAATTACAAGGAAGCAAAACATACCTTTAAAGAATGATAGAAACTAAATATTTTTGGCATGAAATATAATTGGCATGAATATGTATCTAACTGATCTCCAACTAGTGTGTGCCTATCCATGTGACTCACTATGGAACGGAGAGCTACAAGCTTAACTATTTAACACAGAAAAAATCCAAAGAGATTATTTTATCTTCTCTATTTAAATCCCATTTACTCACTAAAATCCAGCTGTGATGCTTTGATGAGTTAAAGTCTCAGGCATTTGAATGCTTGGTCCCCAGCTGGTAGTACTGTTTGGGGAGGATTAAGAGGTGTGGCTTTGGTAGAGGAAGTATGTCACTAGGGACAAGCTTTTAGAGTTCAAATTCATGTGGCATTCCAGGTTTGCTGTTTGGTGCTTGTGGCTCAAGATGTGAGCTCTCAGCTGTTCCAGCTGCCACACCTGCCAGGGTCGCTATGGTTCCCTGCCATGATGGACTATTAACCTCCTAGAGTCAGTCCAGATAAGCCCTTTCTTCTATAAGTTGCCTTGATTGTGATGTTTTATTACAGAAGTATAAAAGTAATGGCTACATATGTTAGAACTAGGGAGTGGACTCTTGCTGTGCCAGACATGATCATGTTAGTTTTTGGAGAAATGTGGAAGAAGATTTTGGAAGTTTGGACTAGAAACGTGGTTTAATGTTGCAGCAGAGCTTTGTGGACTTTGGGGGCCCATCTCAATAGATTCTAGATGAACACGATAGTATTGTGAGATTTTTGGCAAAATTGTGGCTGCTTTCTGCCTTTGTCCTACAAACTTGCCTGGGGCTAAATTTAAAAGCAATGGTTTAATTTATTTGTTGAAGATTTTAAGACATCCTAATATTGACTATTAAATGGTGACTAGGAATCACCTTTATGCATGTCTACAATGAAAATGAGAAAGTAAGACAAAAAGGAATGCAAAATAGTTTGAAGAGACAAAGAGCACCAGGAAACTTAATGTTGTAACCCAGGCTGGTGATGAAAGAGATAGGCAGACAAGGAGAGGCCTTCTCTGCATTGGAATAAAGGAATTGTCCTAGGAAATAATAACAAACCAAAGCTGCTATATGTGTGACTTGAGGGTTCTAAGGCTCATCCCAGGCTGGTAGCAAAACTTGGCAGCCACATGGTGCTGGATTTGAGGTAGTGAAAAAAGTGGGAGTAAATAGGTCATGGCATCTTCCTCCACAGTCTCAGAGAGCTGCTGAGGTCAGGCAGTGTGGGGCAGGGGAGTCCCTCCAAGAGGGTCCTTGAGAAAGCAAGAGGCCCCGAGGGGCCAGTGCATGAAGTTGTAAAAATGACCCCTGTGTGTCAGTGGAGACGAGGTGTTTCAGATGCCAGACCCATGAGTATCTGCGAAAGAGAGCTGCACACAGGAAGTGGAAACAGCCTGGGGGTGGGGGGAGAGATCTTACAGGCAGTAAAGTTGGAAGGGCAAAGCTGTCTAAGCTTTTGACATCAAACATGGAGCTACAGGATTTGGTATTTTCCATGTTGGGTTTTTGTCTTGCTTTGGTTTATTGTTTTCTCACTACACTCCCGTTCCTCCCTTTTGGAATGGCAGTGTACATATTGTACCATTATGTGTTGGAAGCTTGCAATTTGCATTTTACAGGGGCTACAATCTCTTACAGGTAAGAGATTTCCTTGAGTCTCAGAAGAGACACAAACTTTTGACTTTTAAACCATGCTAAGACCCAATGGAGTTGGACTAAATGCATTCTGCATTATGATATGGCCGTGACCCTATGGGGGCTAGCAAGTGGAATGTAGTGGTTTTAATGAGATGTCTCCCATAGCCTTAAGCAATTGAAGACTTAGTCCCTAGTTTGTTTCACTGTTTGGGGAGTTTCATGAGTTGTGGTCTTGTTGGAATATGTCACTGTGGGTGAGCTTTGAGAGTTTAAAGCCTCACACTTCCAAGTTGTCCTCTGTTTGGTGGCTTGTGGTATTGTGAGGTGTCAGCTCTCAGTTGTTCCAGCCGCCGTGCCTGCCTACTGCCATGCTTCCCACCACGATGGTGATAGACTCTTATCCCTCTGGAACTATAAGCCCTCCCCAAACCTTCCTTCTTTAAGGTACCTTGGTTACAGTGCTTCATCATAGCAGTGAAAAAAATAACTAATACACCATCCATGTAAAACTGATAGGAAAATCCAACCAGTGTGTGTGATAAGTCTTGTTCAAGCTGTAGGTTCCAGTAGATAGAAACTGCCTGTCTGTGGCTTTTTATAATTGTTACACAATGTGTGTATAAGAGATGAGCGTATATATTTCTATGTCTGCTTCCAGGGATAGACAGATCTGTGAAGATATTTTCATGGTCATCTGAGGATACAATCTGCTGCTCTTGAAAAACTACAAAATCTGGGGGCTGGAGAGATGGTTCAGTGTTTAAGAGCACTGACTTCTCTTTCAGAGGTCCTGTGTTCGATTCCCAGCAACCACATGGTGGCTCACAACCTTCTATAATGAGATCTGGGGCCCTCTTCTGGCATGAAGGCATACATGCAGGCAAAGCACTCACAAAAAAAAAAATATTAAAAATAAATTAATTAAAAATTAAATAATTTTTTTTCAAAAAGAAAAAGAAACACTACAAAATCTTATCAGCACACAACACCTTGGTCCTCCATGCAGGTTGCCCTAGAGTTCTAATAAGGTGGCTAACTTCAACATGTTTTCTCTTATCCTTTGTAGGAAGTACCAAGCTCCTCTCGAGGTAGACTTGTAGCACACTCCTCAGGGTTAATCCTCTGCAAGAAAGCCCAGAATGTACATGATCCCAAACTCACTAGCCTTCTAGAGTGACTTCTGTTTAGAACAAACTGATCATGTTGAGTTTGAGGTTGACAGTTGTCCCAAAGAAAGATTTGTTCAAGTCCTAAGCCTCAGTGTCTCAGAATGTGGCCCTATTTGAAAGTAGAATCTTTACAGATGCTTCCAGGTATCCCTCACCCAGAGTTCAGTGTCCTTACAAGAAAAGACACCAAGGAAGGATAGTTGGAGAGGCTTGAGAAATACAATGAGTCTACAAGACAGGACATACCCAGAGTTGTTCTGGAAGAGGCAAAGGAAGAGCCTGTGGAGAGGCATTGTGCTCTGACACCTTCATTAAGCTTCTATTCTCAGGCTCTCAGATTATGGTAATTCATTGTGGCAGCCACAAAAAATGCATACAGGAAAAGTAAGAATAAGATCCCCAGGATTCACTGAGGAGAGAAGGGCATGATGCCTGTCATCCATTACCTTCCACACACACAGTTTGCCATGCACACTGGCAGAGCTGGGTCCATAGTAACAGAGTCCTCACACAGGGAGGCAGGAAAGGCAAGTTTGGCTTTTATTGTCAGTGGAAAAGGCAGTGGAGGCATGAATGACAGAGAGAGCAGGGACACAGGTAGACCAAGAACCTAAGGGATACAGCTGGGCCATGAACCACAGGAGCTGGTGAGATGGCCCTGGACACAGCACCAGTGCTAGGGTGCCCTGCAGGTGACTCACAAGCACAAGGAGTATGAGGTGACAGTACAACTGGGAAGGTGGCAAGGCTAATTCACTGATGTTCCTGACACCAAGGGTGGACCTAGGTGGTAGCTGGCCTGGACAAGAAGGGTCTGCTACTTGGGGTTGGGGACATAGGCTCTTCTTTCTCTACTACTGACTGTGTGTTGTTCCTGCAGATATTAATGAGTGTGCAGATTTGACACACCCACCTTGCCACCCCTCTGCAAAGTGCAAGAACACCAAGGGAAGCTTCCAGTGTGTGTGCACAGACCCGTATGTGCTAGGTGAGGATGAGAAGACCTGCATAGGTGAGTGGCTTCCTCGAAATGTCATCAAACTTTAGTGATGTTCCTAGAGGGTGCCCCAGATCTTCCCAGGTGCCAAACTGAGGCTCTCCCTGCCTAGTGGTGAGTAGACAAGGAGAACTTGGAGAAATTCGGGGAATGGAACCTTGTCAACTTTCAATAGTATGTCTGAAACACTTTTTAGATGCAAATTGTGCTACAGAATGTGTACAGCAGAATTTGAGGCTGCTTCTGTCTGCATATACAGTTGCAAGCCCAAGATAACTAATTCAGAAAGAAACCTGCCACAATGAACCATGAGACCCTGAAGTCAGCATCCTAATTCCCTATAGGCCCAGCAATATTGCTAACCTCATTTTATCCGATGAGACAGCTCCAAGGGCCCAGAATAAAACTCCTGATGCTGTCAGTCAGCCAAAGGGCACCTGTCTGCAATTCAGATGTTTGTTTGGCCTGGGATGTCTTTGGCATTCCCCTCTGAATGCTTACCACTGAAGCCAGAAAATTGTTGAGGATAGAATTTCTTCATTTGATGTGTTATTACCAAAAAGGACATTACAAAAAACATGCAAGATGGACAAGGGCCCTTGCAAGTCTGGGGCTTGAAGGTCTTAACCAGGGCTGACATTGATCTTCAAGTCATTCTGGAGTGAAAAATGTGTGGAGGTTTCACACCCTGCACAAAGGATTCCTAGAGCGGAGCTTAGAGCTGAACAGGGTACACAAGCCAAGCCTGGAGACTCCACAGTCATGTACAGGCAGAGGCACAGTGGGTGGCCTAATGAAACACCAAATTCAAGCTGGGGAAGGATAGAGAGGCCTTGGTAAGGCAGTTCCATTTAAGTAGTTTTCACTTGACATACGGCCAAATGTAAACCCCAGGGGTCAGCTGTAAGAAATACCAGTGTCCCTAGCTTTCAAGAGGGTCAAACCCTGAGAGATTTTTAGATTCTATATAGAGGGAACATGTGGGATGCAGGCCCCAGTTGGAAAGCCAGTCTAATCACACCAGGCTGCCAAACCTCAAGCTACCAGGCCTTAGCACGTCCTCTCTGACTCAGTGTCATCCCTAGCCAGCACTGATTCAACCCCCTGCGCCTCTTGCTGGGACTAGTCCTCATAGCTTTAGGGGCATGCCACCTTACAGCGGTGGACACAGTACGGTGTGTGACACTGTGACATTTAAAAACAAGTTCTCTGCTGGAGGATTTCTAACAATTCCAGGGAGCCAGTGATGAGCAGCTGGCAGAAGAGTCAATAACAAGGTTGTGACAGCAGGGACTTTGAGAAAAGGCCACTGGCCACAGACTGACAGCTCCTCACAAGAAGTCAGCGGGTTCAGAACTTGGCAGGAATATAGAAGAAATGAGCAGCAGCATCTGCTCAGACTCCAGTATCAGAGGTTTCAAGCTCCTGGCTAGATGGGTCCAAGGGTTCTGCCCTTTGCTCTTTAAGTCCCAGTGAATGGTTTGATTTATCTCTGTGTTGTAAAGATCACTGGGTAATTTGCCATCTGTCCCTAGATCCCCCAAAGTTTTAACTGCACGGGGCTTCAGTCTGCCTTCCGGGACCCCAGTTGAATCTCACAATCTTCGCAAATCCCAAATGCCTATGAATGCAGTTCTAGGACTGTATCTGTTCTTCAGGTGCGGCTGCCATGTGCCCACTGTCTTCTCCCGTCTGATTCCTTTAGGAGCCTTAAGCAGCTCACTCAGAAGCTCACTGTCTGTCTTCCAAGATGAGAAAGGAAGGATATCCCCATCCCTAGCCCAGCCCTGGAACTGTGCCAGTCACTAGACCTAACCCTCTCTCCCAGTTACAGGGCCAGTTCCCACCAGCTCTCCCCACCTCTGTTTCGCTCGGAAAGAACATATTATAATCTTTCCTCCATGAGTTGTGCCCAGAGGCAGCCAGGTAGAGATCTGTGGCCATGCTGGCCAAATCTGCTGACTTATGTCCTCCTGTACAGATTCTGGCAGGCTGCCTCGGGCATCCTGGGTCTCCATTGCGCTGGGTGCACTCCTCATTGGTGGGTTGGCCAGCCTCACCTGGACTGTAATTTGCAGGTGGTAAGTCCCTCCTTATGCCCATTTCCTATACAGTCATTTCCTCTCCTCTGGATGTGGCTCTTCCCAAAACTCCCTCATTATGAGGGCAGTTGAAACACCAATCTATCTTACCACAGACCACTGTACAGCAGACTAGACTCTCAGGTGTGATTTAGGTAATAAAGGTAGGGCAGGTTGTAGCACGAACCCTAATTGGTCTTAATAATAAAAACTCTCGGAACCAGATATTGGGGTAAATGCTGAAGGATCAGTAAAGGAGCCAATCACTAGAGAGACTTCTTACCTCGACCAAATCCTCAGGCCAAAGGGAGCTGAGCTCCTGTCTCCTCCTGCCTTATATTCCTTTCTCTGCCCAGCCATATCACTTACTGTCTCCACTTCCCTAGTGCTGGAATTAAAGGTGTGCCACCACTGCCTGCCCTCTAATCTTTAGGCAAGTTTTATTTGTTAGAGAACAAATTATCACCAAAGCAGGTGATGTAGGGCCAGAAAAGAGCTGGCCTTATTCCTTGGGAAGGAACTAGGCCACGCACGTAACTGATGTATGACCAGAGTAGTGACCAGCTGAGGCAGTTACTACCCACCAGCTATGGTGGTAGGGCCCTACAGAGTATCATGGGAAACAGTCAAGATGCAGCTGTGGTGTCTGAATAAGCAAGATTAGCCTCTCAAATAATAGGACAGGGTGGAGGATGGGCACACATCCATACTGTGTAGAGCATCACATAGGGGTTCCTGGGAGGATCTTTGACTAAGCAGCTCACGAGTATTCCAAGTCTCTGGCCAGGGTGACCACCAGTTCATCAGTGTCCAGCATGAATTGGGTCAAGTGTCAGGTTTTCCCTTCCTCTCTCCCTTTCCCCGTCCTCCTCCTCTTCTGCTCCCCCTACCCCACATTTATCCTTTCCTTCTCCCCTTTCCTCCTCCCATCCTGTCTCTAGAAGACAGACTTCCCTTTCACATTCACAGCATTCTTTCCCAAGCACACATACAGTTAACCACAGCTTACACATCCCGTTTCCCTCGGGTAAAGACATTTACACACTAAGTGGTGCTTGGAAGCCCGTTTTAGGGCCCCAGAGTCCAGGGCTAATTCCTAGTTTATTTTCTTGGAAAGGCATTTCTTTAAACCATGGTCACCAGTCTCACAGAAACCTGTTATTTTGTTGTAAGAGAAATTGTGTATATGACAAAAATCTCTTCTGGAGAGAAATGTACAGAGAGGCAGCCCATGGTCCATGGGTAGAAGAAAACATGACTCCTCTTCAAGTGTCACATAACCATTTGCATGCACGTGGGAGTGGAGAGCCATGGGGTGGATAGGCAGTGTGATGTGACAGTAAAGTAGCCTTACATGTCTACAGGACAGCTTATAAGCTGCAGCAAACATGACAGGCCATTAAAAAGAATATGAGCAGTGAGTAGCAAACTTCTGCTTCACAATTTTATTTCTCCTTACAGGCATTGAAATTTGATTAACACAATTTTTTTTAATAATTAAAAGCATGAGACAGGCAGTGGTGGAGCATGACTTTAATCCCAGCCTGGTATACAGAATGAGTTCCAGGACAGCCAGGGCTACACAGTGAAACCCTGTCTCGGAAAAATAAATAAATAAATAAATAAAAGCATGATAAATTAAAAGAGGCAGGGTCAGGCATGGATGCAGCTTTCACAAGCCATGAAGAATGGCTTTTCTAGACACTGTGCCCTGGGGCTCCTCCTGACACACACACAAAAAAAAACAAAAAAAACAAACACTCTCCACTGAGTCCTCTGGAGTCATATGCTACCAGTTAATGACCTGCATGAGGCCACAGAGGAAGACAAATCTGTGGTCCCCTGAGTGACTTCCCTGACTTTAAATCTAGAGAAGTAGTTACTGTTTGCATGACTGTGTGCAGCTACTGTGGAGCAGGATGTACACAGGCCCTTGAGTGGTCTTCTAAGTTCTGATAACAATGACTAGATGTGTGTTTATCCACAGGACACATTCTGAAAGGAAATCCACATTGCTGATCACGGAGGGAAATGTAAGAGTGACCACCCAGTCAGGATTAAAAAGCAGTCAGGAGAGGGGGATTTCTCCACACAAGGCTGCAACTCAAGACACCGGACAGGTAGGGTATGTTTGTCGTCCCAATCCCAGGCATGTCACTGTGACTATCAGCTGTTCTTGCAGCTGTGTGCAGGGCCCCTCCATGCAGGTATTTAAAATGGACCTCTGTACTCTTCTGTCCTTCCCTCATGCTGGGTTTCTTTCTCACACTAATTATAAAAGACTGACAATTTGTCAGAAGTTGAACTTTTTAAAAAGTACAGGCGAGTTAGAATTAGTAACTGTCAGGTCCAAAAGAAACTCCAAGACAAATGGCTAACTGTGGTGCCTATTAGCATACCAAAGTGCATGCTGGTCTCCAGACCTTCTCAGCATAGCAAGTACCCGCTACAGAATCCATGCTGGCATCCTAGCTCTTCTCACTCCATCCCCTAAACTTCTCCATCTCATGGGCTTTCCTTCTTCCCAGCTTCTCATTCCTGTATAACCCTGCCATGTCAGCTATGTGCCCTCTTGGTTCTTGGTTCTCTTAGCCCCTTCTCTTGGTCTTCCTTCTCTTACTCCACCCCTACTACACCCCACTCCCCACCTACCAACTCCCCCCCCCCCCCGTCCCCCCACCCAGTCCTCTCATGGCCCAATTTAGTCTACTGGCCATGTTTAGTCTACTACTTTCTCTCTGTGCTCTGGACTCTTCCAGATGCCCCTGTCTGTACTCTCCCTCGTATTTACAATAAAAACCTCCCTCAACCATAGCTTGGAGTGGCCATGTCCTCACTTTATACAGCTAGTGCTGAAACCCAAAAGAGGCATGTATGAGCCCCCTTCTACATGGCAGCTCAGCCACTCCTTACCAAGCTACCAATTCAGCTCTCCTAAAATAAATATAGATCATTTGTTTCTGCTGGCTTCTGCCACCATATTTGACTCCAAATTCTGGAGTCTGCCTCTCCAGCTGCTTCTTCCCTCCACCTGCTCTGTTTGTCTGTCCTTGTCCGTTCATTAAGTGTCCTCTCAGTCCTTCTGGCTCTTGGAGCCTGCTGTCCCCTCCTAGGTGCCCATCATGTGGGCATCTCTCTGCTAAGACAATTGACCCATCTCACTCTGTTGCAATGGTTCTCAACCTGCCTAAAGCTGTGACCCTTTAATACAGTTCCTCATGTTGTGCTGACCCCCAGCCATAAAACTATTCTGTTGCTACTTCATAACTATAATTTTGCTACTGTTATGAATTGTAAATATCTGATGTGACCCCCCAAGGGGTCACGACCCACAGGTTGAGAACTTCTGCTCTACTGGAATCCTCCCTTTTCAGCTGCTTTCTCACCTACCTGTTCTAACCACTCATCTCTCCTCTGCTGGGTAAGTATCACCCCAGAGCTGCCAGCTTTGTCTGCTATTACTATAAAAGCTTCACCCATGTGCCAGGATGCTCCTCCTACCTCCCTGGGCCCCCATGAACATGGAAAGGGATGCCTCTTCTGTGCTTTGGGACATTTCTCTCTCTGCTTGGGGATGCCTAAATTGAAATTCTTGTCACTGGGGCATTTACTCCCTTGCTACCTGGAGGGCCAGCCTCCAGCAGTCCAGGGTATGCAAAAAAAAGAAAAAAAAAATATCCATGAATGTGGCGAGGGCTAGACTGAGAGGAAAAATAAGAAAACACACATTTTTCTGATGGTAACTTTCTCTTTTACTTCATCTTAAAAAAATCCTCTCTCTGAAATTCTCTGTATCCACAATTACATTCCGCATTGTTACATTCTCCATACAGCCACATACTTGCACAGCCATACATCTCTACATACAGTTACATGTTGTAGGTATTCATCCCAACAATAGCTTTGAAGTATCAGCCTTATGTGTTTCTAGCTTGATGTTATTTTTGTTGGTTGTAGTTCCATTTTTGTTTATGTTATTACCTTTCTTTCTCCTGGACGATTCTTGGTAATCGTTCTTACTGTATAGTTTTGTATTAGGTTTAGAACCTTATTTAGACAAAAGGGGAAGTGTTGTGGGTATTTGTTCTGCCAATAGCTTTGGAATACCAGCCTTAGGGCGTGACCTCTTGGAGGGTTATGGGACTGCTTAAAATCTGAGGAGAGGGTGCATGGTGGTTCTCTTGGGGTGATCAGAGACTGGACAGCCAGATCCATTTGCTGCCAGGCAGAATGGAGGACAAGAATGGCTGTTTACTTGGTTCTGTATCGGTGAGTGTATTTTTCCCCATTTCATATCTTAGTAAATCCTTGATACCCCTTAAAGAGACTCTCATGGGTTTCACATAATACTTACATCTTTTTTCTGTACAGCTTCACCTTCCTTATCTCCACACAGCTACATCTTTTACATGCAGCTATATATCTCTCTTTATATACATACATCTCTTTTATACACATTTCTTCTGCTATATTCCTTCACACACTACTACATCATTCACTCACTCTCTCACACTTCTGCACACAGCTACATCTCCTGCCAGCACACACCCACACACTTCTCAATAGCCAAACTCAGGACAATTGTATGTTACATTTTCAGGACCCAACCCATTCTTACATCACATGATAAGTCACACATTTTTTTCTCAGGCTAGGGAAGTCACACTGACCATCCAGCAAGTAATGTGTGGCTGTGCATGTAGCCTGAGTGATCAGAGTTCCCAGACAGAAAATGACATTGAAACCCAGGATTTAGGCAATAAACAATTAGTTGGCTGAAACTTGATTGGTCAGAAATACGTGCAGAAAGCCAGCTGCTGAGAGAATTGTGTCTACTAAAGCAGTTTTGTGCCTGACTTTGGTTTAACAGACACTTGGGAACTTAGCCTGTTCTGAATTTGTTTTGAGGTGTTAGCTAAATGTGTGAAAAAGCTGTCTTTGAGACTGAGAATACTGTTACTTTCCTATGTCAGTTATAAAAATTATCCTAGTATTATTTCTATTGATCAGAATTATACAGATTAAGCAGAAATCATCTTCCTGACCATCCACAGCTATAAATGTGCCTAATAGGTGGAATATTTACATGAGATAAACACACAAGCATTAGGAAAAACACCCACAGCTGCTGTTAGGGAAGAAATGTAGTAGCACATGAGAAAAATTACAGACAGAAGCAACCAATCATTTACAGTCAGTGACCCCCACGGCTTTGCCAAGTGGGGCTTCCCATCAGAGAATCCATCTAGTGGGTTAACCTGCTGAACACTAGCTGTTACCTACTGTATACTCCCACAGTCTCTGGTAGAGCCATGGCTACAGCAGCTCTCAGCATTGCCTTCTCTCCCACACCCTTTCTCCCATATGTTCTCACCTGAAGTTTCCTCACCTGCCCATAAGAGCTACTAAATTCTGAAGCTTCCTTACATCCTCCTGGGTCTCTATGATATTGGAATCCTTTCTCTTGTGGAGTCCCTGCTTGTGACCCTTGTCCCTTATGATGGCCCCGTTCTCCTTTGTTTCTCTGCTCCCTCTTGGAGCTTACTGGAACCTTCCATCTGTCGGAGTTCCTGTCTGCGACCCTTTCTCCTTTTTCTCCTCAGACTCGGATTTCATTAAAACCTCGCCCACGGCCGGGCGGTGGTGGCGCACGCCTTTAATCCCAGAACTTGGGAGGCAGAGCCAGGCGGATCTCTGTGAGTTCGAGGCCAGCCTGGTCTCCAAAGCGAGTTCCAGGAAAGGCGCAAAGCTACACAGAGAAACCCTGTCTCGAAAAACCAAAAAAAAAAAAAAAAAAAAACCTCGCCCACTGTCTTACTGGAAACAGCTTGACCTCAATACAGCTCAATCAAGGGCCCAAATTGATATGCTTGATTTTCAAATTCTTTCATATGGTAACATTGTTGAGGATCTCTAGCTTGGGGGAGGGGGCGGCATTCCACACTCCAGTCTCACTCCTCCCATTCCAGAACCTGCCACTCAGAAAGCCTGCCAAGGGTCAGTCCCTCCCCGGAGGATGGCTCCAGACCATACCTACTGGCTCTTTAAGACCTGATTGCCAGACCCATGTGCTCTCTCCTGCCTTCCTGAGAGTCACCTGGGAGTTGCTTTGCTCTGCTCAGATTAAATCTGGACATTAATTTGGCCTGATCTGATTTACTATATCAGCAGAGAGGCTTGATATTGAGGCATGGAAACATTTCAGACATCTTCTGCCACTGCACAAATAAATGCTTCAAATCTCTTCTATCTAAACCTTCTCTGCTTTGCACTCTCAAAAGTCTCTTATCACTCAACTTTTTCTATTTTCCACTCTTAAAAACCTTTTTTTATCTCTATGATTTCCTTGCTCTCTGTTCTCTTAAAATTCTGGATTTGTAAGTTTTTTGGGTATGGTTTCAAAAACTGTAAATTCTGTAATGAAAAGTTAGCCATTTGTTACAAGTTTAAAGCTGATAATTTTTTAATCTATATATAGTTAATCTTAATCTACTACAGTATCTTATATATGTGGTTTAACTCTTGTTTTAAAAAAATAGATCTATGACAGTATACTATAGGTGTAACTTGAATTCAATTCTTGTTTAGGAAAACAGTTGTTTTCAAATAGCAACCATGTGGCTTGCCTCCATCCTGGATGATGACCTCATGATGGAAGCAACCACGTGGCTGGCAGCCATCATAACTAAGGGTAAAAAGGGTACATGCCAATGTAACTTCAACACCATCTTGATTAAGATGACCACATGGTATAAAGCAACTAAAGCAATAATCATAAAACTTATTAGTTCCACTGAACCCTCTGCTTCTCACTGTATCTCCTTTTTAAACTAAGGAGGCAACAGCAAGTCTCAAATATTTTGGATTAGGATGGATTTTTGTATGATGATAAATTTTTAAGGTTATAAAGGTATACTCAGTTTAACAGAAATGAACTTAGAGATATATATCTAACTACTGAAGTCTTTGCTAATTGCTTAACACAAGGCTTCTAGAAAATTTTAGACAAGGAATAACATATGTTTGAATAAGGAATATTTGATAAATAGGTTTATAAACTCTTAAAGTTACAAAGGTCTACTCATATTAACAAAAGCTAACTTAGAGATTTATGTCTAATCACTTATATCCTTGTTGTGTTCAACACTAGGCTTCTAGAAAATTTTAGACAAGGAACAATATGCTTGATGAATAAGATATGTTTGATAAATAGTTTATAAATTCCTAAGGTCTATTCAGGCTAGTAGAAACTGACTTGACGATATATGTCTAGCCTCTTTGTCCTTGTTACTATATTTATGGTTTAAAGTTTTATTTTGATACTAAATAACCCTCAATTGAATCTTAAATTAAAATTTTTAGGGCCCAAACTTAATAGGAATAAAATTGTAAAATACTAACCTTATATAAGCTACTAACATGTTGTAAACTGTTAAAGATAATTAAGACATGCCAGTTAATGGTCAGTTACCTTATAAATGATCAAATTCTTTAATGTGCTCAGAAATTTGATCATGGTCATGCTAAGCACAAACATAATTCATTTACAGAGACAATCTTTATATATTCTCCAGCATATGTTTTCAAGGCTAAGCCTAAAGTAACTAACTAAAAACAAGTAAAGTTTGCTTAAAATCAGTTATATTTAAGAGACAGTCCCCAAACTCCTCAGAGATCTGCTAAATATGGCATTTTAAATGTTTAATAGAAAAATCTTTCTGTGATAGACAGAAATGCCAGCTCCCAGAGGCGACTGTAAGGTCTTCAAAGACAATGATGGGGCCCAGATGACTCCACCTGGATTGTGGTAATGTTAACCACTGAGAAAAACTGCCCCATGCCTGGCTCGTCACCAGGGTGCAACCCAAACTGTAGACGATTTTCGGTTGACTCCCAAGTTCCCCCTCCACAGGAAAATCTCTCAGACCTTCTGGGTCTGGCAGCTGAGGACTTCACACTGTCCTGTGTGACATCCAGAAGACCAGCAAATTTTGTCCCCAGTGAAACCATTGAAATTACCACAGGGGAGCACAGTGTAACCATGCAGATTGCAGGTTAATCTCCGGCATTTAAATCTGCATTTAAATAATGCAGATTATATACTTCCTGTTCTAATTTATCGTTCTCAGATCTTTGATAATGTTGGTGGCTAACTGTATCTTTAATAGTTTAACAGCAGCAAGCAGACCAGCTCCTACCCGAAGGCTGTCACTGCCAGGTCAGTCCATTTCATGTGTAAAAATCAAGACAGTTTACCTTGCTGGCAGACTCCAAACTCACAAAACAGGTTTCAATGTAGCTTTTTACTATTCCTTTATTTAAAGGAACTAGCTTTGCAGGGACAAATCTTAGTAATCAACCACCTGTGTCTCGTGGTAAATGATGGGATGAAAAGAAAAGGTTTGAAATTTATGTAAGCTGTGAAGGTCTAAGAAAGTAATTTAAGGTTTGTAAAGGTCTGAGGATATGAAAGCTTAAGTAAGTTGTGAGGGTCAAAGTGATTTTGTGTGAAAAATGAGAATGTTTCAATTTTCTTTCCTTCTCACTATGTTATTGTTGTATGAAGACTTCAAATGTTCAGAGTTTCAACATTAATCAATTGAGTCCTGATAATGTATTAATCTAGCTCTGATAAAGCACTGACTGCTATACTATTATTATAGTCACAGCTCAAAATTTAAATTTCCTTTGGTTGTCTTCTAAGTGTAGACTTAAAAGTGCTTCTCATGATCCTGGCAACATCCTCTGTTCAATTCGTATGTCCAACCCTCTTGACAGGAGTGTTCTTTCTTTAAACCCAAAACCATAGCTTTAGCCACGACTCAAAGACACAAGTGCCTGTTTACAGACACTTACAGTGTGGATTTCTGTGTAGATTACAAACAATGGTAACGATAATGTATCTAAAACTTCCACCTCTCTTGTAAACTTGAAATTCATGTAAGCTTCAGGGAGTCATGACTTGGATCTGTCTGTCATAGGTCAAAAAGACTCAGTAACTTAGGCTTCCCACCTACCTATTCATGAAGGTCCCCCCCCCCCCCGCCCCTGCCGCCTCTTTCTCATATCTTGGGACTGACTGAGTGTGAGGAGTTTTGTAAAGAAACCAAAATAGCCACTCCATGAATGTAAAGGGGAGAAAATTATTCCAAACTGCCAAGTGTCTCTCTCAGGAAAGCAGAGACACATGATGGGGAAAGTCTTCAGGGCTGTAAGGGAATGGATACCTGAGGGGAAGGGAGCCAGTGGGCTGGGCGGCTTTGAAATGTATAACAAGTATTGTGAGTGGGAACTGAGGCAGTCTGGAGGCTAGCATGGACCTTGATATGGTGATAGGCACTACAGGCATATGTTAAGGAGAATAGCTCCTTTTAGCAAATGGGAACTAGCTTCTCCAGTCCCTGAGGGAGTGCTGACTTTTGTCTAAATGCTAGACCTCAGGAGAAGGAATTTATTTCTTCTATAATGGCTCAGATGAAATTAGGGTTTCATATGTTAGGAACCAGGAAGACTGAAATACCAATCAAAAGGCCAGGAACATCTGGGTTTTTCACTCACTGCCCAGGTTCTGTGGGGCTTCCTGGAGTAGTGAAGTATAGCCCACTTTGGAGCAGTTAGGGGCTCAGACTGGTAGGCGATGGTAGGCCTGGGGAAATTCTGCCAGAAGCAGCTGGTTTACTGACCATAGGGCAATTTTGCTAATTCTTTTCTGGAAAAAAAAAAAAAACCCAAAAACCTAAAGAGATAGTGTGATCATTATTATGAGGAGTATGGAAATCAGTAGGCCAAAGAGATGTAAGAGCCAGGGGGCCAAAATGAGAATTCTGCAAAGGAATTAACCCCTGGAAGCCAAAGCATCCCCCAAGCCCACCTCTTATGAAGTCTTTAATCCTTTTTTCCACCTGGCTGGACTGGTTTACATAGTAACAGCATTCTTCCAGGAAGAGGTAAGTGCCTCCCTTTCAGCAGTTAGTAAGCAGAAGGCCTTTGGTTTGGAGTAATTGCAGAGATGAGGTTGATTTCTGGATCCTAATTGCTAGCTGGGTGGATACCTGTTGAGATAAGATATAGGCTGTGACCCAAGCTGCCTATAGTCAGACTAATTCTGACCAGGACAGGGAGGGCTATGGCCTTGCTGATCCCTGTGTGAGACTTGGAGGAGAGTATAGAATTCTCCTTCCATGTATAGAATGAGTTGGGGGAAGTAACAGAGTGGGGAAACAGGGACCGTGAGTGGATTTGTTTATACATTAGTAAAACTTAAATGGACACAAGAAGAGGGTTCCTTCTGGGGCTATTGAGGTTCCTGAAATTGGTTAAGTTAGCACGTGCTGATGAGGGTCAGGACTGACAGAGGTTATTGCATAGCAGTCCACCTGCTGTCTCCAGAGAGTAAAGAGGCACCAGAGGCGATGAGGGCTAGGAAACGATTTTGGGGTTACAGAACATAGAATTTAGGGTTACATGGGTGAGAGGAATAGCTGCTGCAGGAGAGCACAAAGGAGCCATGAAGTTATGGTAAGGGATCCACTGTTACTGCCATAGGGGTGGAGGAGACTCAGGGGTTCATTTAGAATAGTCTTCCAAAGGCCGAGTTAGGAGATGTCTCACACAGCTGGGGCTAGAGGATAATCTCAGACCACTGAATAGCCTCTACCACTAGAAAGGTGTCAGGTGCTTCCTTGAGAGATCTAAAAATTATCACTGCCCCTCTGTGAGACAGGCTAGAAGCTGCCTTCCTATAGGTGTGGATCTGCCACCACAGCCCCTTGGACTCTCTTTTTTTTTTATTCCAGGAGTTCTGGAGAAGGTGGCCATACGTAGTGTGGGCCCATGGCAGAGTTGTAGAGGCTATATGCCTCATCCTTGTTCAGAGTAATGAACATAGGTGTCCAGGCCAGGTTTGGGATTGTCACGTAAATTGAAGTTGGCCTGTTGCTTTCTGCAAATGCAGAAAAAGTCTGCTTGGGGGTCAAAAGTTAGAGAAGCTCTGAGCTGCAGCCAGAGGCAGGACAGGAGGAATAATTTTATTTTGGATGGATATATCTGGAACTTCCAGGCTTGTCTAGGTCCTGCTGTGTGGGAGGTCAAGAGAACAAAGAGAGCAGCAGGAGGGTGAGAAAAGAAGCCATTCTCAGGGATGGGTAGTAGGCAGGAAAGCCCATAGACTGGTGGCTGCACTTAACAGATTAGCAGTCACCCCTTTGAACTGTGACAGGTGGATCCAAGTTGCAACTCCTTGAGATTTTTAAGGATGACCTGATGTGGAACCATCCTGCATGGGTTGAAGGTACGTGGGTGAGAGGGTTTCAACTAAAACCAGTCTCCTGGCGATATGGTTTGGGTGATAGGATCAGACATGTTCCCAGAGAAGGTGTCTCAAGAGAGGTCTAATAGTCACCGAGATTTCCTGGAAGGAAGGGACTGCCGGACACTAACTCACAGTCTGAAGAAAGAGGGGGCTCAGGGTGAGGCACGGAAGGGAAGGAGGGCACAAGGTAGAAGTTGAGTCCAAGGAAGGTAAAGTTCAGAAGATGGTAGTGATAAACAAGTCTTAATAAGTCCATTGGTCCTTTCTACCTTCCCAAGGACTGGAATCAATAGAGAATGTGGAGGTTCCACTGCACCCCTAAGGCCCTCAAGACTGACTGACTTTAGAAATGAATGCTAGGCCATTATCTGATTGTATGGAAGTTGAAATCTGGGTAAGACATCATTTATGAGGTGGGAACCTTTTCTGGAGTCTCAGCTATAGTATAGAAAGTGTCTATCCTCCTGAGAAACTGTCTACCAGAATAAGGTATTTGTGTGTTTTGTTAGTAGGCACGTGTGTGTGAAATCTGCCAGTCCTCCCAAGAAGATCACCTGTGGTTGGGTTGAAAGGAGGAGAGGTTTGCAAGGCCCCCTGTTGGGAGGTTTGAATCACGGGGGGGGGGGGGGGGGGGGGGGAGGGGGGGCTAGCTGTCTGGGGAAGAAGAAGGGTTGGAGCAATCAGAGGTTGAGACCCAGTGTGAAAAGATTTGTTAATGCCTGTCAGAAAAGACTTTGATGTTTAGGGAGACGGTCCCTGTCCTGTAGGAGAAGCCAGCCCTGAAGATCCATGACCACTCTCATAACTTGGAGGGCCTGTCGTTGGGACTCTCAGTAGGTAAGGATTAAGCTTGGGGGAGTAGGAATGTTGGATGGCCTCTTTAGCAGTCTTATCAGCAAAGCATTTCCCAAAGCTGTATCATTAGTAGGGGCCTAGTGAACTGCTGTCTGCTTGGGAAGATAAGAGGCTTCTAGCAGTTTTAGAATTAGAGGCCCATTGGTAATAGATGTGCCTCTGGGGTTGAGAAATCCTTTCTCCTGCCAAATGGAAGCATGGTAATGTACATACGGAATCTACATAGTAATACAGAATACAGAGATCACACTTAGAATCTCTGTATGTATTGATGGTTTTGTCTTGTGCTAAGTTGAGGTCTCCAATGAGGGCTAGGAGCTCTGCCTTCTGAGAAGTAGTGCCTAGGGTAAAGAGGAAGATTCTACACCCAGCTCAGAGGAGACTATGGCATAGCCTGCTTGACAGGAAACAGTGGAGCTGAGAGATGAGCTTCCATCTGTAAACCAAGTATAGTCAGGATGTGACAGAGGGTAAGAGGAAGTTGTGGATTTCTGTCAGTAAGGGTATCAAGAGGCTCTAGGCAGGAAAGGGCGAGGGCAGTGACATTGGGAAGGAAAGCGGCAGTGTTCAATGGAGAGCAGGAACCGAATGAGATATCAAGGTCTTCTAGGAGGGTGATGTGAAAAATCTGAAGCTTAGAAAAGCACAGAGTGGAGAGACTCCTGTGTGATAGGAGATCCTTGAGCTGGTGTGGTGAGAGAGGGGACAACCCAAAGTGAGCTTAGAAGCCTCCTGGGCCAGTAGAGAGGCCGCTGCCGCCCATAAGCAAGGCTGCCATCCCCTAACTGTTGTATCTAGCTGTTTGGAAAGGTAGGCAACAGGGCCAAAGATGATTTGTCCCAAAACTTCTAGGCCATCCCCCAGTTTTCAGCTGTACACAGGGTAAAGGGTTGGTCGAGGTCAGAGAGAGCCACAGCCTGTAGGAGTTTGCATCTCAGAGACAACATGACAGGCTCGGTTAGGGTGTCCCTAGCTGCATCGTAGGTGGGGAGAGCAAGAAGAACAAAGTTAGAAATCCAGGCTTTAAGGTACCCCGCCAGGTCAAGGAACCTCTCAAATCTCTTCCTTGGTGGTTGGAGGTATGAGGGTCCGCAGATACCATCTGTGATCAAGAGGAAGTTCACAGCTGTTAGGGAGTGCTTGACTTGAGAGACAGAAAGTTCAGCTTTAGAAAGGGAGATTCTGTATCCTCTTTTTTTTCTAGAAAGTTAAAAAGATGAGTAAAATGTTGGGAGGAGTGAGAGTGAGGGGCTGCGTAGCAGAAGGTCATTAACATATTGCACGGATGTCGGGAGGTAAGGTCAGTGGCTACAGCCTGGTTGAAAAATGTGGGCTGTCTCAGAAGCCCTGGGAGAGGACTGTCCAAGTAAGCTGGGATGCTATACTGGTGTCAGGATTCTCCCAGGTAGAAGCAAAGACATCGTGTGAATCTGAGGGAAAAGGGAATGTTCAAGAAAGCAAGCGTTCTTAAGGTCTAGGACTGTAAAATGAGAGGTAGAGAAGGGAATCAGGGAGTAGAGTACAATGGTTAAGGACTGCTGCGCGCACAGGAATTGCAGCTGCTGCATTAATAATCCTGAGGTCCTGGACTAGGTGGTAAGAACCGTCAGGCTTTAGTATAGTCAGGGTGAGTGAGTGCTCTTGAGAATACCGTTATCAACAAAGCACTGTATGATAGATTTTAAGCCCTGTCTATGTTTTAGAGGAATATGGTATTGAAAGAGACAGGGGTAGGAGGTAGAGTCCCCGAGCAGGACCTTAATAGGAGGAGGATGGGAGGCCACCGAGGGAGAGGAAGTATTCCATACTTTTGGGTCAATGATGGAGGGTAAAGCATTAATATTGGTCATTGAATAAGGGAGCTCTTCAGAGGAGGAAATTCCAGAGAGAGTTGGTTGAAAAGGAAAAGTATAACTTAAACATGATATCTCTGCCCAATAATGTGATAAGAAAGGAGTGAGCTATCAGGTGGCCCTAGAGAGGAAAGAGGAGAGAACCTGTAGCCAGGAAGTATAGACCAAACAGCTCCTGAATCAATTAAGAATGACACAGACTTACCCACTACCTGGATAATTATCCTAAGCTCCTCCTTGGTAATCTTGATGGTTTTGTTGAAGGTGGGGGTCCCAGGGCAGCCACCAGGTCCAGAAGATGTAAGGGACTTTTCTATGGAGGAGAAACTTGGGGGGACTGACCTACCTTAGTGAGGCAAAGAGATGCAGTCAACTCTCCGGTGTCTACAATTTGGGCAGGGTCCTGGAGGCTGGTAAAATAAAGGACAACTTTTCACCCAGGGCCAACTTTCCTACTTTAAAGCAAGCTCCACGTGGAGTTCATTTGTGTCCCCCTTCTTTGGAGGAGACCTTAGGGCTTCCTCTAGGAGCTGGCACTTCCATTAAACACCTTAAATGTCATATTCCACAGATCTCTCTGGAGGGTTGAAGGCTGTCATCCAGCCTTTTAAATATCAAGAGCTAACTGGGAGATGAAGTGAGACAAGCATGCCATCTTGAGAATTAGCATCTAGCTTTGTGTACTGTAGGAGAGCCTCTGTAAGTAGGGTGAGGATTTTCATCCAGCCTCTAAGTGACCTCTCTGAGGTGAGAGCCCACAGAGGTATATATGTATCAATTTATTAAGGGGTACAATGGGGAGACAGACTCACTAATACAAAGCAAGGTAGATGTGCTGCAGATCCACTCCTGATCCAGTTTCTGTTCTCAAGGCCGTTGGGGACCAACTATAAGCCACTTTCCACTGCCTGACCAGGCCTCCTCACCCCAAGAGAGTGCAACCCTTTTAAGTGGTCATATATGCAGACAAGAAGCCACACCCCAAAGCTATGAGTGGAACGAATTCCCACAACACCTCTCTCAGTTTATCACAATGAATTACATTATGGGAGGCCAACCAGGTGGCAAATAATCATTTTGTCTCAGGCTACTCTGTCAGGGGACTAATTCTCAGCATTAACCTGGAAATTCCAGTGGTGGTCTATCGGGGGAACTGCCTCTGCCCCCAGTAGATATGAATTATCTGTGTGGTGGACCTAACCTTGGAGAAGCAACAGGGGGAAAGGTCTTCAGGGATATAAGGGAATGGATACCTGGGAGAAAGGGAACCAATGGACTAGGGTGGGAGGCTTTGCCATGTATAACAAGTACTTGTGAGTAGGGACTGTGTAGAGGCTAGCCTGGATGATGCCATGCTGATAGGCACTACAGGCATATATTAATAGGAGAGCTGTATGTCCCTTTTTCCAGAGATAAGAAAATGACTTCTAGCAAGTGGGAACTAGCTTCTCAAATCCCTAAGAGAATGCTAGCTTTTATCTAAATGCCAGACTTTGAGAAACAGAATTTCTTGGGACCTGCCACTTCCACACCAACTACCAGGACCACAGGCCCAGAAGTTTCAAGTGCACACCTAAGATATAGATTTTCCCCTGAGATCCTTAACTTTACCTTCTATCCCTAATATATATCTGCCCCAACTATTTCCAATCAACTGGAGACTGCACACCGCTCCAAACTGGAACTAGCTGAAAGCCAATGTAAACTAGATGCTTCTGATGAATCAGCACGTCCAGACTGCACTAAAGCTGTCTGCATTTTGCTAGACACAGGTGGTCCTGCAGAATCTGGGTAGCAAGCAACACAAATGTCCCCCAGCACTCCTCTCTCTCTTCCTGATTTTTGACTAGTAGTCCAGCCTTCCTGGGCTCTGACAACACCTTAATTTTAGCTAAGAGACAGTTACAGAAGAGATTACCTTACCCCTTATCAATAAAAAGGCTGGAATGGCTAACTGTAGTAGCTATTAGCATACCAAAGCAGCTCATGGTGGCCTCTAAGCTTTCTCAGCATAGCAAGTACCTATTACAGAGTCCATGCTGGCATCTTCTCAGCTCTTCCCACACCATCCCCTACCCTAAAGTTCTCCAGCTCATGGGGCCTCTTCCCTTACCCCAGCTTCTCATTTCTATATTTCTGCCATTTGTGCCCTCTTGGTCCTCATCTCTCACTCCTGCCCCCATAGCCTGGTTCATGCTACTGTCCATGTTTAGTCTGCTACTTTCTCTTCCTGCTCTGGACTCTTCCAAATGTCTCTGGCTGTAGTCTCCCTCATATCTACAATAAAAACCTTCATCTCAACCATACCTTGGAGCAGTCATGTCCTTGCTTTATACATCTGGTGTCAAAGCCCCCAGAGTAAAAGGTGTGTACAAGCCAGTTACAAAACTACAGGAAAACATTATCTGAGCTATTACTTGGAGGAAATTAAAAAAAAAAAAACCTGAATTTTACATTTGCCTTTTAAAATAAAATGGTGATGAGGGCTGGAGAGCCAGCTCAGTGGTTAAGAGTACTTGCTGGTCTTCTAGAGCAGCAAAGTTCAGTTCCACACATATATGTGAAGCTGTTCACACATGCCTGTAACTCTAGGAGATCTGAAGCTTTCTTACAGCCTGGGCAGCTACCCACGCACATATACACATACCCACAGAGCCAGACATGCACAGGATTAAAAATGAACAAAAATAAGATTATAACCAGCATGGGGAAATCAGTATAAATTTGATTATTTACCTCTTACCTTATGTGCACCCCAGGTGATGTTGTATTTATAGGTCATATATGACTCTGGTTTCCGTTCCTAGACACAGCTAGTAAGTGATGGTACCCAGCATCAGAGAGGCAGGATGGGGGGATGAAACTTCAATCATACAGGAGGGCTGTTCCCCAGAATGTGACCACAGACCTGTTATAAGTCTCAGAGTTGTTGAAAAACTGATATACAAAATGTTCTTACTACATGAAAACTAAGTGTGTGAGGTGGCAAGTTAGTTAACTAGCTTGATATACTTACTCCACAATTCTAGCACATATGAAAAAATGTAGGGCCAGAGACAAGGTTCCACTGGTAAAGGTACTTGCTACCATGCCTAAGGACCCAGGTTTGATCCCCAGGACTCACGTGGTAGAGAGAGAGAGAACCAACTCCCACACTTTAATTTAAAGTCACCTATCACATGAGGGGTCTGTCTTGAATGACTACCTTCACCCTAATATTCACTGCTGGGTGAAGCCATAGCACCCATCCCTTAAGGTGAATGGACACACCCGAGGCTCACTGCAAAGCTGAATGTGGCTGAGCCTGTCTCCTGGGGCTCTCCCTGCTAAAAGTGAGGATTTTGTTTAGCTAAATGCAATGGTACTTTTGAGTTTAAATTCACAACTCAGTGGCTTGACTGGCACCTAAAATGGTAATGGGGACAATGCTCACCATGCTTTCTCTCCAGCAGGAACCTGCCTATGGATCCCAGGTCCTTCTGTGTGAGTAGAAGTCCTCACTGCTTTGGAGCCAGGCATTGACAAACGCAGGTCTCAAGCTGCTTGGAAAGAACATGACACATGTTGGAGTCGGAGGCTTGAGGAAGCAGGATGGTTAATCTCATGGACAGGCTTCATTAACTTCTATCTCACATTTTTCCATGGAAGCAGTCCAGGCCAGACCTCGCTAAGGCCTCTCCTACACATGGAGGCTAACGGATGAGTGGGTGGAAGGCTAAGAGAATCACACATGGCTGAAAGGCTGGATTGAGAGAAGCTGGCATAGACTCCAGATCCTTCAAGACAATTTTATGTTCATTCAGATTCACCAAGACTGTTCTCCAAATACATTCAGTCCTCTCATTATGTCCTAGTCACCACAAAGCACAGATGAATAAATGCCACAGCCTTATCCTGGTCTGGTACAGATATCCCCCGCCTCTGGGACTGCATTAAAAACATATTTACATGTCTGTATAAGCTGTGGAAACATTGTTTCACTTTAACCACCTTAGCTTTTTCATTAACACTAATTCTCCATCTCTAATCCCTCCTTGTCCTCTCACTCTTAGTCCACTTTGCACGGCTGTAACGGACACTTGGCATGATGAAGTTATAGAGAGAAAGGCTTTGTTTTTACTCATGATTCTGGAGGTTTTCATCCATGACCAATAGGTCACGTAGCTTTGGGCCTCCAGTAAGACACAGCACTATGGTGGGGTCACATAGTGCAGCAAAGATGCTCAACTCAAGGCTAAAACAGAGACTCACAGTCTATTTTAAGGATCTGTGTCCAGTGATCTTCCCATTAGGCCTAACTTTTAGGGGTTCCACCACCTAACTATAAAGTGGTTGAAGCCACTATTGATAGTGCTATGGAGGGTTCTCCAAAAACTACAACTAGAATTACTTTATAACCCAGTCATACCACTCCTGAGCATGGATCTGAAGGACACTAAGTCAGTACACCACAAAGATACCTGCACATCCCATGTTGATTGTTGCCCTGTTCACAAGAGCTCAGAAAGAGAACCATCCTAGGTATCTATTAGCAGACAGAGGAAATGTGGTGTATGTACACAATAAAACTTTATCCAGCCTTAAAGAAAACTGAAATCCTGACCTTTGTATATGAAAAAGATAGAAATTATTATATTAACCAAAATAAGCCAGATTCAGGAAGACAGTAAGCATATGTTTTCTCTTATAACTGTATATGTATGTGGGGAGGGTTTAGGTCCTGGAACTAGAAAGAGGCCATGAGAGGGTGAAAAAACTCTAGAAAAAGAGAAAAAGACAGAGAAAGGGGATCAGCAAGAAGACCAGAGGATAGAGGAGAGATTAGAAAAACCTATGAATCAAGCTGGTGAAGCCATTTTAATATCTAACAAAATAGACTTCAAACAAAACTAATCAGAAGAGTCAAGGAACAACAATATCACTGTGTGTGTGTGTGTGTGTGTTCAAAAGGAAAAAATCACCAAGATGACATTTCAATTGTTAATGTCTATGCTCCAAACACAAGGGCATGCAATTTCATAAAAGAAACACTATTACAGCTTTAATCACATATTGACCCTCACACACTGATAGTGGGAGACTTAAACAAATACTTGAGCTAACTGACATTATAAACCAAATGGATCTAATGAATATTTATACAACATTTCACCCAAACTCAAAATAATATACCTTCTTCTCCATACCTTGGCTATCTTTCTCAAAAATTGATCACATACTCAGACACAAAGCAAGTCTCAATAGATGTAAGAAAATTGAAATAACTCACTACATCCTATCAGACCACCACAGATTAAAGCTAGATATCAACAACATCAGAAACAATAGAAAGCCTACAAACTCATGGAAACTGAACACCTTTCTACTGAATAAAACATAGGTCAAGGCAGAAACTTTCTAGAATTTAATGAAAATAAATATACAAAATACAAAAACTTATGGGACACACTGAAAGCTATTCTAAGAGACAAGTTCATAGCACTAAATGGCTGCATAAAAAAACTGGAGAGATCTCATACTAGTAATGTAACAGCACACCTAAAAGCTCTAGAACAAAAAGAAATCACACCCCAAAGGAGTAGATGACAGAAATAAACTGAGGGCTGAAATCAATAAAATAGAAACAAAGAGAGCAACACAAAGAACCAATGAAACAAAGAGTTGGTTCTTCGAGAAACATCAACAAGATAGACAAACCCTTATCCAAACTAACTAAAAGACACAGAATATCCAAATTAACAAGATCAGAAATGAGAAGGAGGACATAACAGTCACAGAGGAAATATAGATAATCATAAGGATATACTTTAAAAACATGTACTCCACCAAATTGGAAAATCTAAAAGAAATGGATAATTATCTTGATAGGTACAACTTGCCAAAGTTAAATCAGGATCAGATAAGCAATTTAAACAGACCTCTAACCCCCACTACATAGAAGAAATCATTAAAATTCTCCCATTCAAAAAACCCAGGGCCAGATGGTTTTAGTGCAGAACTCTACCAGACTTTCAAAGAAGAGTTAATACCAATACTTCTTAAATTATTCCACAAGAAGGGGAGAGATGCCCCCTTACCCCTTGCCCTTTACTGCCTGCAACAGACTAGAGCGCTGACCCTCCCCCTTATAAGCTGCAGCACTTAGGAAAGTGGGCCCTGTCCTTCACCTAGGCAGCACAGAAGAGCTGGCCTGGTGGTTGGAGGTGAGGATGACCCACCCCCAATGTTGTGAGCAAGGTAGAATTGTTCCCATTACTCATCTGACATGTGGCAGCATGGACAGAGGAGCCATGTCATGCCCCCACCCCCACCCCCACTCATCAATGAGACAGGTGGAGGAGCTGGCTCTGGGGTCATAAGAGCGGGAGGACTGTCCCTACCCCTCACCAGCTGTATCACTCTGGAGAGTGGCCCCTGTACCTCACCTGGGCAATACAACAGAGCTAGCCCTGATGGTGTAGGTGTGGGAGAGTTGAGGGCATGAAAGCAGGAGAACAGGCCCTACCCCTTGCCCAATGCTGCAAGAGGTGAATTAGCTGGGCAATGCTAGAGAGTTTACCCTGGCAGTGAAGACGGGGAAGAACTGTCAGGGGGACCAACCCTGCAGCTCAGAACCAGGGTATGACTTGGCCCACCTCAACATCCATCCCATCTATGCTCTGCTGGCACACAGGAAGGGACCTGATCTACAGACCCAAAGCTGCAGGATCTTCACACACAGGGAAACAACAGGTTATCCAAGGAGAGTCCCAGTGAGGGCCCAGCATCACTAGTATAGTAGAAATCAGAGGCCTTGAACCAGACCCATTGGTGACCCATGACTCTTTGCAATGGACACTTGCAAATAAAGATATGTGGATAAAGGGGTTTACTGCATGACTCACTGTGTTACACTGCAGCCTCCATGGTAAGATTTTTAATTTTTCCCCTTTTTTCTCTTAAATTTTACTTTATTTTGGGAGGGGGTTACAGGGGCAGAGGGCGGACGCAAAAGGACAGGGAAATGAATGGGGTCAAGATACATGATGTAAAAGACATATAGAATAAATAAAGTGAAAGTGGAAAAAATTAACCCACAAAGTAGAAACAGAAGGAGTATTACTCAATTCGTTTTGTGAGATCACAGTTACATTGATACCCAAACCACACAAAGATTCAACAAAGCAAGAGAATTACAGACCAATTTCTCTCATGACAATTGATGCAAAAATATTCAATAAAGCTCTTTAAAACTGAATCCAAGAACATGTCAAAAAGATCATACACCATAATCAACCCAGAGCTGCAGAGATGATTCAATATATAAAAATCAATAAATGCAATCCACTATATAAACAAATTGAAAAAAAACCCACATGATCATCTCATTAGATGCAGAAAAGACCTTTCACAGAAATCCAACACCTCTTCAGATAAAAGTCCTGGAGTGATTAGGGATACAAGGGACATACTTCAACGTAATAAAGACAATTTATAGCAAGCCCAAAGCCAACATCAGCTTAAATAGAGAGAAACTCTAAAACAATTCTACTAAAATCAGGAACAAGACAAGGCTGTCCACTCTCTCCATACTGTTCAATATAGTACTTCAAATCTGAGCTAGAGCAGTAAGACAACTGAAGGAGATCAAGGGGGTGCAAATTGGAAAGAAAGAAGTCAAAGCATTTTTACTTACAGATGATATGACAGCATACATAAATGACCTTAAAAATCCCACTGGGGAACTCCTACAGCTGGCAAACACCTTAAGCAAAGTAGCTGGGTACAAGATTAACTCACAGCCGGGGCGGTGGTGGCGCATGCCTTTAATCCCAGCACTCAGGAGGCAGAGGCAGGCAGATCTCTGTGAGTTCGAGGCCAGCCTGTTCTACAAAGTGAGTTCCAGGAAAGGCACAAAGCTACACAGAGAAACCGTGTCTCAAAAAAAAAAAAAAAAAAAAAAAAGAAAAAAAAAAGGTTAACTCACAAAAATCTGTAGCCCTCTTATATACAAATGACAAACAGACTGAGAAAGAAATCAGGGAAAAACCATCTTCTACAATAGCTTCAAATAATACAAAATATTTTGGGGTAACTCTAACCAAGCATGTGAATGACTTGTATGATAAGACTTCAAGTCTTTGAAGAAAGAAATGGAAGATGGAAAGACATCCCATGCTTGTGTATCAGTAGGATTAATAAAGTAAAAATGGCCATCCTACCAAAAACTAGTCTACAGTTTCAATGCAAGTATCCTCAAAATCACAACACAATTCTTCATAGATCTTGAAAGGACAATTCTCAGCTTCATAAGGGAAAACAAAACAAAAAGATAGCTAAAGCAATCCTGAATAGTAAAAGAAATGAAGGGAGTATCACTATACCAGATTTTAAGTAAGTACTACAAAGCTATAGTCATAAAAACAGCTTGGTATTGACATAAAAACAGACACATTGATCAATGAGATCTAATTGAAGACCCACACATAAATGCACACACCTATGGATACCTGAACTTTCATTAACAAAACAAAAACAAAAACAGAAATACACACTGAAAAAAAAAAGAAAGAAAACATCTTCAACAAATAGTGCTGGTCAAACTGGATGTCTGAATGCAGAAAAATCCAAACAGACCCAAACTAATCATCTCTCACAAATCCCAACTGGAAATGGATCAAAGACCTCAACATAAAACCAGATACACTGAACCTGATAGAAGAGAAAGTGGGGAATAGCCTTGAACTCTTCGGCACAGGAGATTTTCTGAACAGTACACCATTAGTGCAGGCACTAAGATCAACAACTAATAAATGGGACCTCATGAAACTGAAAAGCTTCTGTAAGGCAAAGGGCATTGTCATTCAGATAAAGCAGAAACCTACAAAATGGGAAAATATTTTTACCAACTCC